GAAGAAAACATAGACGCCACAAACGAAAATCCTGAAACTTTGTCAGAAGAGAAATCAGAGAATCTGACCTCAGACAAATCTGAGGAAGAAATGGAGGACAGTCTAGGAGAAACCAGCATCTCTATCTCTATAGTAGAGGAAAGCTCAGAATCTGAAAACACAACTCCTGAAACAAGTAAGTCTTTTGAAGAGACTTGTGAGGACCTGATCTCAGACAGACCCGAGGACCTGGATCCAGTAGATGAACCTTGTCAAGAAGAAGACAACAGCTCCATCGTCCAAGAAAACATGGATTCTCTAAACAAAGCCCCTGAAACTGAGACTTATAACGAGTCTTCTAAAGCTACAGCACGTATAACGGCTCACTACCTGACACGCTCCTTCGTCAGAAAAGTCTTTGAAATGGCTGGGGAAGAGAAAGACCTGCACGCTCGCTCACTGATGACCATTGAGCTGCAGAGGAAGGTCGCGACGAGCATCAATGTCAACGCCCAAAGTCAATTTAAACCTGAACAGTTGGAGAAGATTGGAAAGAAAGTGGCTAAACGTCTTAAGGTGAAAAATAGCTCTTTTGAGGAGTTTGAAACAGACGTGTTGGAAAATTTCAACACTGAGCTTAGAAAGCTCCAGAACCGTCCTAAGTCTGGCCTGGCCCGGTTCTTCTCTCGGGTGAGAAAGGCCTTCACCTTTTAAAAATCTCCCAACCCAAGACACATCCATCTGAAAGGAGTGCTTTAAGACCAGGTGGTGATGGATGCAGAAATAGACACGTAAAAACAATTTAGTTTAGATTAGGACTTAAACATATCATCATCCATGAAGAATTCAAGTTTTTAACGAACACTTTGGTCATTTATGAAATATTTTTCACATGTTACAGATTCCAATGACATCGTACTGGTCACATAATAGAGAAGCTTTCAACAGTATTCACCTGTACTGAACAATGTTCGAGAATGGAGACTTTTGAAATGTCCGGCATGGGTCATGAAGGACCTGTGAAGGGCAGAAAAAAGTCCTATTTCAAAAGCATTGTCCTGATGAGATGACCATTTCTGTATCTTTTCTGACATGGGCTTGAACACAGGAGGAATCACACCAACAACAGTCCCACTATTATCCTCCTGATTGAATTTGAGTTTTTTCAAATCGGAGAAAAAGGCAGTGGATGTGTGTAAACGTGAGGATCTACTTCCACTAGTTCCCTCTGTAGATTTTGTGGTAGAGAGTCCATCGCCTGTTGATCTCATGAAAATGGGTTCATGTTCTTTGTGTTCCAGGGCTTTTATTTGGGCAATAATGGGTTAAAAATAATTAAAAAAAATGTCTTGCAGATTAATCAATCTTGTTTTGCTTTGTTTTACCACCTTAAAATATGGGTACTATTTTTTCTTATTATATGACTTGGACCGTACGCGCGCTCTGATTGGCTGATTTGCGGTTTGAAATGCACAGACCTCGCTACGGCTCGGTCTGTACAAAAAGGCAGCGGTCTGATATTTCTCCATACAGACCTCGCGATCGGTTAATAAGCCGTTATTCTTACACGTATACAGCTTTCAAAAACTTGAACTAGATAAATCTAACATTATGCCGATACATATTTACTGTATGCTATATAAATAAAGATTACTTAATTACTTAACGCTGTATCTCTATTAACGTTAAAATTTTCAATTAATAAAGTTGGGGAAAAAAATATTACTTACTTACTTATGTGTGGTATGGATTCAAACCGTAAATGGTTGGTTTATTTTAGGCTGTGGACAATGAATAAAGCATCACAGTATTGACAATACAAATTTTTACCATGGTGAAGTAAATCTACATAAAATTTCTTAAAATTACTACTACTGTATATGCACAAACAATGTACAAACAATAGACATTTAGCAGTGCAGTAAAGTGACACAGGCAAAATAAGTGACGTCATTGGTCCATATATCCCTATTTTAGTGTTTTTAAAGTTAAGTACCCCAGCTTTATTTAATTTTTTTGCAACAAAACCCTGGTTAAATGATCTGAAGGTTAACTCACTTGCCTTGCATTTGGTTTGGAAAGGATAGGCGTGTTTTTATAGGAAATCTAAATGTTTCTCCTCAGATTTCAGGGCTACACAGTATTTATTTTTCACATCTCATAAATCCTAACTTTTACCCTTTTCTTAACCCTAAACCTAACCTAGTCCTAACCATAAACTTTATATGATGAGTAGACTGGCCGATGTGATGTCATCATAGTGTTAGCTTTAAAGCGGATGAAGCTAATTTGAACACAAGCTAACCAACATCATTATCTGGGCCTTTGTTCTGACTGGGTTAGCTATGTTGCTAACACAGTTGTTCAGGCAAGCTGGAGTTTTCCCGTGATTATATAGCTCTGTATTTACAAAGGAAAATCAAAATATAAACCCCAGGATCACAGAGAGCGTTAAAACAAGGATTTTTTATGCTCAAAATGGTGAGTACGACACAAAGGGTTACTGAGCTAGAGAGAGCTTAGCATTAGGGCTAACACTTAGCATATTAGCAATACACGGTCTGCAGCTGGTTCTAAAGCCACTCAGATCGGAGAGTGTTTGTGATGTGACCAATTTGTTTTCATGCTGTAAATTTGTAATGAAGACAAGGTTCTCTTTTAGAATATTAATGATTCAGCAAGAACAAGGGGCCGATTCAGACTTGAGCTTGTCTTGGACCAGAGGGGGAAGTTCATGTATTTAAAGACTTCAAACAAGACTCGATTATTATCGCCGCAGCACATGGTCCTCACATACACACACTGTCCAGGGTCATACACTGGTTAATGCATAGACTGTACCAAGTGGAAGTCCCACTGACATCAGATTGGCTTCATTCACTTGTGATTATTAAGAAATTGAGTCTGTGGCTGAATAAGAACTTTTTTTAACGCCATGCAATATCCTTGTGTTTTTATTTTGTTGTTGTCTTTATAAATCAAGATATGGCCCTTTTTAAAAAAAAATATTAAAAGAAAATGTAAACAATCAGGAGCCTTCGATCCCAGCATAAAAAGTATGATTGGGAAAAAGCCAGGGTTGCCGATTTGCTCTTTAGTTGCTATAACATTGTTATTCAAGAAATTCTCATTTTCTAACTTAAATATATCTATTTTTTACTTTTGGAACTTGTTGTTTACATACAATGGCAATAAAGAGGATTCAGATTCTGATCCGGAATGTACATGTTTTTTATAATGTTGTGTTTCTCGATCAAAATAAATTCATATAAATACATAAAAAAAAAGAAAAACATACAAAATAGAAATACTAATAATGATTGTAATTTATGCATGAAATAATTTAAATCAACATTAAATACAAAAAATTAAATTAATTGAATATATAGATAAGAAATATTAAAATTTTACAGCATAATAAGAAACTATTATGTCACTTTTGGTTGTTGATTGTTTAAAACACAGTGATGTAAACTGTCTAATATAAACTATAATACGAGATAGCATTACATTTTAGTTGGTGGCTGAGTAGATAGCTCTCTCGCTTCTCAGCAAGAAATGTATGGGTTCAAATCCCAGTCATAACAGGGTATTTCTGAGTGGAGTTTGCATGTTCTGTCCGTGCCTGCGTAGGTTTCCTCCGAGTGCTTTTAGTGGTTTCCTACCACTAAAAACATGCACACTAGGTAGAATCATCCAGCTATGGTACTCCTGACCAAGCCGACAATCAACATCTGGAGATGGGTTCCCGGGCGCTGTTACTACGGCGACCACTGCTCCTGACAGACGCCCTAGTGGCATCAGTATGGGTCAAATGCAGTGGATGAATTGCCCTACTGGGATAAACAAAGTGCACCTTTACCTTTACCTTTACAAGACACAATTGTAAAAGTCAAAACTAGAGACACATCTTTTGGCTGCAATAGCGTTATCTTCAAACAACTAAAACTTGTGAACAACAGTGAAGTTTGGTTTAAAAGCATCAAATCAGCAACATCAGCAGCTTTTTACCATCTGAAAGTCACAGGGACTGGCCTCCTGCTGGTGCTCAGAATCGGGACTAAACATGGAAAGGTATGTTTCAGATTTATGCAGCTAAGATCTGGAACAGTCTTCCTGAAAATGTGAGACAGGCTTTTACTCTGACACACCTCTGATGTTCAATTGGATACAACTGAAGGATTGTATCTTTACTTGAATGCATTGTGTGATTGTTTCTATCTTGTTTTGTTAAGCACTCGGAATTGCCTTTTGTATGAACTGTGCTATACCAATAACCTCGCTTTGCCTGTGATCTATTTAAAGAGCCCTCTAACAGCACTTGTTGCATAAAGCCGTCCTCCTTCGTCTCTATGAATGCCACAACAGTTCTGCTCATGAATGAATTGTGAATTTCCTTCGCTGCTCTTTTCGAAAGCTGCAGTTTTCTCAGTGACGCTCTCCAGGCTCCCGTCTCACCCCTCCTCCTCCACCCCCGCCCCACTTATGATCATCATGTCTGGGTCACGCTCGTAACTGTTAACCCTGAAAGTACTTCCTGGGAAACGGATGCATGAAGTTTAGGAAAAGTGCAGACTTTCTGACGTTATTCCATTCGATCCAATTCAATGTATTTGTGTACAGCCCTCACAAGAGCAGTCGACTCAGCGGACGTTGTCGATTCACCAATAGCAAATCAGAAAATCAAATGCAATGATAATTAATGCATAGGAGCTATTAGTCCATTGGGAGCGGGATGACCACTGTCCAGAAATGTTAATACATTTCCTTAAATGCCAAGGATCGTTACTGTCCAGGAGGTCCAGGACTGAGGCTGTGGCCTCTCTCTAGTCTTGCTCTCTCTGGACTGAGGATCTGAGTCTGGACTGAGGCTGTAGACCCAGGACTCAGGCTGTAGACCAAGGACTGAGGCTGTAGATGAGTCTAGAAATGTGATGGATGGTTTGTTTGTATAAAGACAATAAAACATTAAGCTTTGGTGAAATCATAAATGTGATGCTAAGACCAGTTTTTCTCCTCAGCCTGGTGGACGACCGTTGTGTGGTGCAGCCGGATGCAGGAGACCTCAACAACCCTCCAAAGAAGTTCCGAGGTGAGAGGCAGGGTTCTCACTCTGATGTGAAAAATGGTGCTCCCAGAAACACTGTCATTTTGACTGCTCCCCTTAAAATCAATGGAATTCTGAGATATTTTTTAGTTTTCCACCAGTCTAAATGCTAACTGCTGCAAGTAAACTTTGTCCAACTAACTGGTCCAAGACAAGTCCAAGATCAATACCCTGAATAATGGACAGATACATTAAAAGTCACCAAGGTATGAAGACCAAACGTGCACATTAGCTGAGTAATTAACAAGAGCCGTCAAATTGACTGTTGTGGAAGCTCCAGTGTTAAACATATTCGGCCTGGTCGTCTCCTGTTGTGGTTGTCTCAGATGTGCATGAGCTGTTTGAAGCAGAGGACTCATTCATCGTTCTGTTGAGGGGGAAGGCTTTGGTCCTATTTCTGTTCACTCTGTGGCATTAAAAAAGATGATTAATATTAATGTTAGTAACTTGAATGCATCATATCCATCTGTGTTGTGGTGAGAATAGGTTGTGTTCATGTTGTAGGATTATATTTCAGTATTTCTCTCTTTTCAACAGGTGCCAATACTATGGGAAAGAAATGTTGAAAAAATATAATTTTCATAATGTACAGATGTCTTGTTTAACCTGGAATATGAAAACACACTAATACTGCAATAAGTAAAGGGTTAAATTAGCATATTGTATGTCAAAATGTAATGAAACCTAGATCATAGTTTGGGAAGATTCATCTTGTCTTAGCAAAATTAAAAGTATTGGGTACTTCTATATCAGACAATAGTAGGTTAGTACCCAGCCGACCACATAAGTTGATATGTATCCGTCAAAACATGTCAAGTAATAAAATTGCTAGCCTACTATTGTCTGGTATTGAAGATACCGACACTTTAAAATCAAGATCATTTTAATGTATTCTTTTCCCTATTAAAAGCTTGGGTTTGGGTCTCTCTCTGGTTTTGATCTCTCTCTGATCCTGCCCATGGTTTTTCGCTGATCCTGGTCTCTTTCTTCTCCTGGCCTCTCTCTGGTCCTGCCCTCTCTCTGGTCTCTCGTTGGTCTCTCTTTGGTTTTGGTCTGTCTCTGGTCTCTCTCTGGTCTTGCTGTATTCCTGGTTCTGGCCTCTCTCTGGTCCTGAACTCCCTTTGGTCTTTGTCTCTGCTCTCTCTCTGGTCCTACTCTCTCTCTGGTCCTACTCTCTCTCTGGTCTCTCGCTGGTCTCTCCTTAGTTTTGGTTCGTCTCGGGTCTCTCTCTGGTCTCTCTCCGGCCCTGTTCTCCCTCTGGTCTCTCTCTGGTCACTCTCCCTGGTCCTGGCCTCTCTCTGGTCTCTCTCTGACCCGGGTCGCTCTCTGGTCAAGATAATTTAATTGCAATCTTTTCCTTTTGTAAAGCACTGAAAACTACGGTCTGTGTGGTTTTCTAACAGGGGCCACATAAATCCTGCAGCTGTGATGATGAACTCCACGCTGTTGTGGTCCTGCAGACTTCGCTCTCAGAAATGTTCTTTCCAAACATTCTGCCCCAGATCGTAGACGCTTTCTATTCTTAGCCTCGAGCAGGAAGTAAAGTCACTCTAGTGTTTGTGTAGTGCATCTTTCACATTCTTTTGAAGTTCTAATGTTAGCGCCAAAGCGGCTTTATTTGGCTGGCGCATATTTCATAGATTGAAAGGATCAGAGAGTGTTCCGGATCTCCCTTAAGCAAAGTTATAAACAAAACTTTTTTTTCAATAACTAATGATGGAACGATATACAGTATTTTGACGCTCAATATTTATATCTAGTTCTTTTCTTTCTTTGCAATATTGCTATACATCATTTTAAAGCTAACATCCCTAACATGCTAGGGAAAGCTGAAGACTGTTGCTAAGGCAGAGTTTCTCCATGAAGGAAGGCCACTGATTGGTCAGTTGTTATGGCTCATATCTGGATTTGCAAAGACGATTTCATAATATAAACACCAGGATCACAGAGAGCGCTAAACCACAGATTTTAAGTAAAAAATGGTAAGTATGACAGTTAGTTTACTTTACATTGAGCAAGGGAGTTTGCATTGTCCCTCTGTATACAGCAAAGGCAAGTCCAAACTCAGGCCCGTAGGCCAAATCCGGCCGGCTGTGTGATTTTATGTGGCCCTCTGGTGTAGACTATTTGTTGGTTTCTTTACTTGACTTTTGTATTTATTTTCCCTGCGGCATTCATTAGGTTATATTTAGCTGTTCTGTTTTTGGGTCCTTCCTTGTTTTAATGGCATCATCCAGCCAGCTTCAGCTCCACCAATAAGTCATGCTATACCTCGTTGTAAATCTCAATCCCTTTGGAATCGCTATGACGCTAATGCAGCTGTAGTGTGAATCAATATACAAAGCCCAGATCAGCCAACATTTTGTCAAAACAGTATTTACAATCCATGGTATACAATCTACACTCTTAAAAAAGAAAGTGTACCGTATTTTCTATTGCACCGTCAGCCACTGGTAAGTTGGGTTTGCATTGTGGTAAAAGCTAAGTAAGTAAGTAAGTAATCCTTATTTATATACCGCCTTTCACAGACCAGAGTCACAAAGAATTTTCAATTGTGGGCATTTGTCACACTCATGCCACACAGAGATGGGAGTGGGGTCGCCAGGACAGCTACTTCTGCTGCTGGTGGTTCTTCTGTCTGTAGAGTGCCGGACCCCCTCAGAATCGGCTTTGCTCTGGGGTCCAGGTCTGAGTGGGTCTTTGAGTGTCAGCTGCTGCAGACGTGAGGCCTGTGTGTGGCTGAGGCCGGACTCTTCAGACCTGTTCTGTTTGATCCGTTTGATTCTCTGATCTGTGTTGGCGAATTGAAAGGTTTTGTTAAGTTACAGTAAACTTTACAAGAATATATTGAATTTATTTGTGCTCAAAGTAACAAAGAAACATACAAGAAAAAGAGGAGCAACTATTGGAGCACAGTAAAGAAGAATTCAGCTGGTCCTCATCATCAGCAATCGTAGTTGGTGTAGTGCCACTGTCTGAGGCTACTGTTAGTTGAAAGCACGTCTCTGGTCTTTCTTGGCTCTTTCTCTCTGGTCTCTCTCTGGTCTCTCTCTTTGGTAAATCTCTGGTCCTGGTCTCTCTTTGGTCTCTCTCTTGGATCTGTCTCTGGTCTTGGTCCTCTCTCTGGTCCTGGCCTCTCTGATCTCGTCTCTCTGAGTTGACTTAAATCCTTCTGTAGAGTGAGTGGTGCAGGGGGTCGGTCCGGTTTGCAGTCTCCTGAAGAGCTGCTGACTCATGTAAACACTGGGCAGGAGTTTTTACTTCAAACGGTCCCTAAATGCTGCTCGTCTGCCTTTTCTCCATCGTGCTTTTGATTGGTTTGTGCCACACTTTAGCCATTTCATCTGTTACCGACAAATGTTTTTTGATGAAAGTTACAGCTTAAAGGTGCCATATTTTGTGTGACCGTCAGTCACATATTTACACCAAAAACACACAAGAAGCACAAAAAAGCACAGACGCTTATTTACTGTCCATGGACCACACGCTGGAGTCTGCCTGTGCTGACCATAGACGGCGCTGATTCTCAATAATGAAAGAGAAAGGTCACACTCTAACTAAATCTTGATAGAATCAATGAAAAAACTACTCTGGGCGTGTGTATGAAGGCCAAATAGCACTGTTATCTTGTTTAAACATGCCGTGTATGCAATACAGTCCAGGAATCTACAGGAACAGGAGGCTTTTTAGTGAGAAGAATGGACAGCTTCACCATCAGAGACAGAGAAAGAGATATATAAACGAGAGAGAGGGACCAAAAAGATACCCAGGAATTTATGGCCAATTTATGCAATCGTTTGTTGTTTGTAGCAACGGCCAAGTTACGTCTGCTTACTGAACATACGTAAAAGATAATTCAAAGGAATATTATTTAATTTTTTTTGTGTGTGACGTAACTCGATGTGCACTATGTGGTTCTGTTTGTCTCAAATGAAGACGTCTTTATGAGCTTCCTGCTGAAAGAACAATTACAAAAACAAGTCACTTAAAATGAAGTAGATGGCTTTAATATTGTTATTGTTGTTCGTGTTTATTGACATTTCCAGTTGTCAGTGAGTGGTTCCGATTCAGAGGAAGTGGTCGGGGGAAGCCATCGGTCGAGCTTCAGTCTCTGTTTTTATGAGTTGTCTTCCACAGGAAATGAGCTCCAGATAATACCACTATGACAGCTTTTTCGTAGTAATTTTGTTTTAGCTTGTCAAATATATGAGCTAATTATGATATAATATAATATTGTATAACATAATATAATGATAATGGGTAATAATAAAAAGGCATTGTTTTTCAACATTCATGGACATTGGTCAACTCCCTATGGACCAATACCTATGTGTTCTATATTTTTTGTCCATATTTTTTGTGTCTTAACTGTTGATTTTATGATCTGTGTTGATAATTTCAACGGTTTTGAGAGATGACTGCAGTTGTGATCTAGGGCTATACAAGAATAATTTGAATTGAATTGAATATACAGTGATTTTCTGGACACTCTGTCATTATTCTTTCACTCCATACTTGGTGGTGATATACTAATACTCTTTTAGCCACAGCCGCCCTGGGGCACACTGACAGAACCATTCACATGCACCAGACACATTCTAGGCAATGTGGGAGGAATGTCTTTCCTCAGGACACAACCACAGTTTTACACACAGCCGCAGCCACCCCACTGAGGCACCTGGTGTTCTCAGAGGTCTCCCATCACAGGACTAACCACGCTCTGCCCTGCTTGGCTTCAGAGATCTGAGGAGATCTGGCTTTCACCTGTGGGTGTCACAATCCCTGTCATTTAGAACACTTTAGTACCAGCTCGGCCTGGATAGAACAAGCACCAAGAGGGACAAAAAAGTAGGAGCAGAGCTGAGTAGGGCTGGTGGAAACGGGGCTATTGTCGCATTCGCTCAGTTTGTGGACGTTACAATCGGCGCAGACTTCAAAGCAGATCCGAAACATGACGGACAGCGGTTATTGCATTTCTTACATATTCCGATGCCTCTGTGTGATCGAGTGCAGCGTGTATTCCCCGGTCGGAGCCTGAGGAGGTAACAACAGGCTGTAAAACATTAGTGAAGTCGGAGGAATTTGAGCAAACGCGTGTGCACTGACCTCACTGGGACCCCCCACCTCCCCCCTCTCTCTGCTTCTCACCCAAACAGACCGGGCTCCAAAGACCAAAACTACGGCTGAGCGGGTTAGATTTTTCAGATAACCACAATTCTATTTGTGGCTTGTGCTTTGAAGTTTCCACGTCCGGACAAAAAGGCAATTGTTTTGGCCATTTTTCTGAGGTAATGAATGATGCTTTACTGGCGATGAACCAATATCTTAATTAAACTCCTCTTTTGATCAGAAGTCTCCATTCCCCAGTTCTTAAGATTGTTGTCCCTTTTGACCCTACTCTACTATACTCTACTCTACCTGGTGGGGTTACTAAAAACTACCTGCGGTTCTTTATCCTCTCTGAAATCTCTCTCTCTGGTCTTTCTCTCTAATATCTTTCTGTGATTTAGGACTGTGCACAAAAACATTGGATTGAAAAAAGCCAACGCTGCTTCTTCAAACTGATAATGGTTAAAAGCTCAATAAAGTCTGTGGATTGTGTGTTGGGTGGAGTTTTATAAAAGTTGGATGTGGTGAACAAATCAGACCACAACAGGCTGTCTCCATCTGAGATAACATTTTGCATTTAGTGAGGGTGGTCCACTTTTCTGTCTAGAAAAGCTGATCTAAAGATGTGACAGAGGCCAAAAACACATGCAAGTAAAAACTAGTGATACAACTAAACATGTTTTGAGAGCGAGGAACTATAGTGACAGTTCCAGTTCCATGATTTCTGTTTGTTTTGAAAGCTCTTCTGTCTTGCGCACACTTCCTCTGCTCGATCTGATGTAAGAGAGAAGCTGATCTACCAGATTGTGGACAAGAGTTCATGTGCGGAGTCCCCCCTTCCTCCCCCTCCTCCTCCTCCTCCACCCTCTTCCTCTATCTCAGTCCCTTTGGCCTTATTTGGTCATGTTACGGAGCCATCGCAGGATCCCAGAGCGGCGAGAGGCACGATGGACAGGCGGCGCACATGTCTCCAGTCTTAAGTCGATGAGTGGTGGTTTGAAGGCGAATCCAGGCTCTGCACTCTTTGCATTCCAGTTTTAAAGAACACATATTACGCAATGTTTTCATGTTGGTATTGAATATTTACAGTGGTCTATTTATACAGCGTTTCTCTGAGATCATTAAACGACTGCTGAATGCTTAGATAGAGTCCGTCTGTGTATGATGTACTCTCAGTATAATTACAGCTGTGGGGGGAGTGCATAGGTCACTAAACAGCATCATGAAAGGTAAGGGAGGAAGATGCTGTGGATTCTGGCCCTCATGAGTCGGACTCGGGATGAAGGTCACGTTGTACCTCGCTGTCATATCACTGTTTGGACTAGTTTCTTATTTCTGGTTTTGCATCTTGTATTGACGTGCATTGTCAATTTTAATTAAAAGCTATAAAATCTCTGTTCTCTGCCTGAAAAACTGAAAATAAGCGCCAGGTTATTTGTGTGTTATATGAGTTTGCCTCAGTCTTATTTTTCAACAGTGCTGAGAAGTTTAAAGCAGTGTTAAATTTTTGAGAACTGTCTTTTATGGACACGCAGAATAAAATATTCTATAGCGCCTCCTGTAGGTGACCCTGCTCCCATCTCTGTGTGGAGTGAGGGACAAATGCCCACAACAGTTGTCAAGTGCTTTGTGACTCTGGTCTGCGAAAGGTACTTTAGAAATATAAATATAAAGTTAAATTACTAGTATTTATTTTGTAACCGTTGTGGTCCTTTTAATGTCAAAAACAAATATAATGTGTTGAATGTGTTAGAATGCGTTGCAGAACAAAATATAAACAATCAATTTGAAAAATTCTAAATTTGAGCATACATTTTGAGAGTGAATATGAAGCAAGTCCTAATGCAAAATACTTAAGCAATAATAATGTACTTGGTTTAAATTAATCACTGGTGAGTGGTTAGCACTGAGAAGCTTTTGGGTTCATATCCCGGTCGGAACAGGGTCTTTCTGAGTGGAGTTTGCATGTTCTCCCTGTGTGTCTGTGAAGACTTCCTCCAGGCCCATTGAACCTCTCACAATTATTTTTTTTTTTAATGATAAAAGCAACGCTTTTTACAGTGTACTTCTAAGCCCACATTTGTCCCCAGTAGTTTAAACCACTGTAAAGGCTTCTCACTGCTCTCTCCAAACGAGCTGTAAAACAGCTGCAGTATCTAATCTGAAACAGTCTTTTATTGTTTTATTGCATTGTTTTTTTATTTAGCTGGTCATACAACTGTCTTCATTCTTTTTAATGCACTGTGATTATTTATTATTGATATGATTTCAATTTGTTCTGTTAAGCACTTTGAGCTGCCTTGTGTATAAACTGTGCTTTACAGATACTTTTGCTTTGACACATTGTCAATGCAAAAAACAACAGGTCTGATATTCAGGAGGGAAGAATATTTTATTGGACAAAATATTGTTTTTGCTGTGTTGTGTCTCTTAGTTTTCCGGTGTTCGCTGTCTCTCATTTCCATACAGAGCAGCTGCAGTCACAGGGACATTTGCATGGAGACTGTTACTTCCTCTTTTCTCTTCCTCTGAAACACAATCACTTTCACCTCGAGTTTAACATCCCCTTTCTCATGAGGCTACACCACTTGCCTCTTGACCAGGACTCCCTTTGAAACCGGTTCTTAATCTCTTTCCTGGTTAAAGGTACTCTGTGTAATGTTGACAGTTGCTCCAATTGAAAACACATTTTAACCATTATTTACCTCCACCATGTTTTTGAGTTGTTTTCATTGGCTTAGAAATTGACTTTTAAATGTCCATGAGAGCTGGAGGACTCTCCATGTCAATGCGCCATCTTGAAATACAATAAAGGATTGGGATTGGGGACCACTTGTCCTGCGAACATATTGTTCTGCAAAACTGCCGTAGTACCGTAATTTACAATATATGATTTCAATGCTAAAAACCACACGGTGTACCTTTTTTAGATAAAGGTTCAACAAAATAATACAATTAAATAGTACAAATAAATTTTAAAAAACCTCACCCCAGCCCTTTCATACTCATACATTTTTTGAACAAGAAATCCAGGCTGCAAGATTAATGGCATTATTCTTTGCCTTTAATTTTTGTATCTATTTTCTTTGTCATTTCATGTTTTAGAATGTGAGATATCTTCAGTAGATATGAGTGTAAAGGGTAAAAAAGGCTTTCTGCCTGCAACTCCCTGAGCTGCCACCATAAACTAATTTATGTGCAATACAGTCAGAGCAGGAAGGAAAGGAGTAGAGTTTGTGGCAGTAAAGTAAGGATTTAAAGAAAACCGAAGGATTTAAGAAGAAAAAAAGTTCAGGATGACAAGGGACACAAAAATCCCCACAGAATCCGATATTTCTGAAAGCTGTAGGTTCTCTGTCAGCTGAGGTTGAGCTGTTTTAATTTACATTGAGTTCTATGGGACTTTTCTCTGGGTAGACCTCGTGATTTTAGTTTTCAGTACCACGAGCGCCCCCTGTGTCCATGGGTGGGACAGCTCTAAGCTAGTAATACCCTATCCACTTATTATTATAGATCCATGGCCTGTAATGTTTTTCTCTGGCTCCTATGGACGTTTCCATGTAAAAGTAAACTCCTCCAGCTCATTAACTATTTTCTCTATGATCCTCCATCCATCCATCCATCCATTTTCTTCCCTTTAATCCATTTCTGGGTCAGGGGGGTGGCAATCAGAGATGCCACCCAAGTCTCATAGCACCAGCCCCTCACTGACCCTCTGCAGGTGGTGAGTCCACAGGAGGACGGCTGCTCTCTGAGTGTGAGCATAGCCTTGATCTTTCAGTGGGGGCTTTGGGAAAGTGGGGTTAAGTGTCTTGCCCAAGGACACAACGACAGCAGTCATCAGTGGGAGTCGGTGGAGAAGGTGCAGAGGTGGGAATTGAACCCACGACCTTCTGGCCTTAAGGCCAATGCTCTACCAACCGAGCTACTGTCGCCCTCTCTATGATCCTGGTGTTTATATTTTGATATAGTCTGTGTAGCTTGTGACTTCCTGTTACTTACAATAGCAATAATCATAATTCTGATGTGTGAATGTGTTTCTTTAAAACGTTTATCAATGTTTTGTTGTAGCCATAAAAACACCTCAAAGATGGAAAGTTTAATACAGCACTGTAGAAAATAGCAGCTCAATTTTCCCGTGTTTTTAAGGCCGTAAAGTTAACTAAACCAAGAGTGTAAATCAACCAGGACTCGTTTGGACTTTTACAGGAGGAATTCAAACTCAGAATGTTCCACGTCTGAACTGAAACTGAAAAGAGAAATACAGCCTACATTTGCTTTTATTGTAATGACAGCGATGTGTGACATAATCAACTCTGCGATACAGCACTATGCATTTATGTTACATGTATTGATGTAATTTAAGCCAAAATATCCGCCCAAAAAATGCATCTATTTATAAATCTTTATTATAATTGGAAATAATCTGGAACAAATATATTAAAAATCAATATTACTAAATTATTAATCGATGTTGTACCAAGTTTTTAATATATAACTACATACATCTGAATGATGTTTGTGTTTATGAGGCTCTGTCTTGTCTGTGGTCTTTGATGGAGTAGTGTTTGATGTGCAGATGATCGGACACATGCACACACACACACACACACACACACACACACATAGACACAAAAACAAAAACCAACACATCCCTGTGAAATTGTCTTTCTAGATTGTCCTTAAATAAAATAAATAAATAAAAACATATGCACACACAAACAAACATAGGCACACACACCTGTCTGATATTTGCTCCTGTGTGTTTGGCAGACTGCCTGTTCAGACTGTGTCCCATGAACCGGTACTCTGCGCAGAAACAGTTCTGGAAAGCAGCGAAACCCGGAGGGAACACCGACACTGTGCTGCTCAACAAACTACACGTGAGTCCGGAGACAACAACAGATACAAGTCTATGTATTTGTGTATCGCCCTAACAGCAGTTGTCTCGGAAGACTTACAAAGTTGTGGATTCGCCTGCAACGGATCAGAAAATCAAACCAATTGAACACAGGAAATGCAACAATAACAAACTCAGTCCTCAGTCCTGGATCTACAGCCTCAGTCCTGGATCTACAGCATCTGTCCTGGATCTACAGCCTCAGTCCTGGATCTACAGCCTCTGCCCTGGATCTACTGCCTCAGTCCTGGATCTACTGCCTCAGTCCTGGATCTACTGCCTCAGTCCTGGATCTACAGCCTCAGTCCTGGATCTACAGCCTCAGTCCTGGATCTACAGCCTCAGTCCTGGATCTACAGCCTCTGTCTGGATCTAAGCCTGAATCCTGGATCTACAACATCATCTACATTCTGTCCGTCTGTGGGAGCATATGCCACTCTCAATGCTTCTCATTTCCTTATTGATGCAGGAGGGTCTAAGGACAGTGGGACATTAGTGGACATTAACATTTCTGGACAGTGGTCATCCCACTCCCAATGGACTAATGACTTCTATGTGTTTTAATTTAACTGCATCTGCTGTGCTCGAACGGTTTGATTCTCTGATCTGTTTTTGTTGAAACGACAACTTTGTGCTGTCTTCCAAGACGACTGCTGTTGTGATTTAGGGCTAAACACTAATAAATGGAATGGAATTGAATTGAATAGGGAGTGGGATGACCACTGTCATCCAAAACATGCCAAAACATGTGAGATAATTGAGAAACCCATAATGTGAGGGGGATCTGCTCATGGACAAACAGGCTGTAGATCCAGGACTGAGGCTGTAGATCCAGGACTGAGGCTGTAGATCCAGGACTGAGGCTATAGATCCAGGACTGAAGAGGCTCCCAAGCGCGGGGTGGGAGGGTGGGTACAGCCCACATTCCAGGCTGAACTTGACCATCTGATAATCAGCGTAGACCTGTGATGAATGATTGTAATCAGGAAAATGCATGTGACAGCGAACGGAAAAACAGGTACAAGTCGCTCAGAACAAACTCAATGCAGGAAAGATTTTTCACTTTTCCAGGAAAAGTGAAAAGGAGAAGACAACCTTCACTCAGCCAATCCGTTCTCGGCCCAAAGAGTCAAATAGTGACTTACAGGGATCTTTTTTACAAGTCTACAAAATGTATAAATGCTTATAATCATAATAGACAGAATGTTGTGGTCATTTTAAGACTTGCCGGCCTATTTGGTGGGAAAGAGCCCTGTGAGTCAGTATTTGACACTTTGGGCTGATTGGCTGAGGGTGGGTGGTCCTCTCTTTTTCACTTTTCTGTTTGAAAAAGCTGATCCAAAGCCGTGACAGAGGCTAAACAAACATGCATGTGAAAACATGATAGAAGAATAGGCCAACATTCATAGAGTTACAATCACTTCCATTTAAAGTCCGCTCGTATCTGGCCACAGTTGGACACATTTTTGATTGTAATCTCAGAGATTCGGTTGTAAAAGTGAGACGCACTTATTAAAGGCTCTTTCATCTGGGTTCTCTGCCATCTGCGCTCGGTCAGAGAGGATTTATGGCAATGTTTTTGACCAGTGTCTTTCTCTCCTCTTTCTCTGAAGCATGCAGCCGATCTGGAGAAGAAGCAAAACGACTCGGAGAACAAGAAACTCCTGGGAACAGTCATCCAATACGGAAACGTCATCCAGGTATTTACAGATTCTGTCGAAGAAAACACATCCATCTCATCATTATGCAAGGCAAGTTTATTTGTATAGCACAGTTCATACACAAGGTGACTCATAGTGCTTAACAAAACAAGATAGAAAGAATCACACAAGGCATTAAAATCATAAGAATCATAGTACATTAAACTGAGAGAAGACACAATCCTTCAGTTGTAGTCACTGCAGAACAAGACTGTTTTAAATCTGGGTTGGAACATTGCTAAAGTAGAAGCCTGTCTCATATTTTCAGGAAGTGTTCCAAATACCTGACTTTCAGAGGTCTGAGACAAAACGGAGAGGAACATATCCAAAGTTTGATGACTGTATCCTTCATCATAGAATAGAATGTATTATTATTATTATTTTTTTCATTAATTGCGTTTGAAAAATAACGCATTTGACGCATATGCCGAATGACCCGCCCATCCCATAATAACACTCAGAAGTGACTTGGACACATGCCTGTAAGATGGCGACAGAGCAGGTAGGCATTAGTTAGCATTAGCACAATTTCTTATAAGTTGTACAACAATCACTGATGAAATGGTACAACAATAGACTGTAAAAATTAACGGACAGAGTCACGCCTATCTCCGCCGTTCTAACTAATGGGCCAAAAAATAGTACTCTACTGGAGCAATCCAAAATGGCCGCGAGTGGTCCCACCCACAAGAAAATTGTGAAAAAACGCATCTCCGCATACGTCAGCCGGCGCAGCTCCATTTATTTGAACGAGAGACTTAAAAAATTCCCAGCTAGTAAACTAGAGTGGTCCAAAAAATTTCACCCCCCTCAACATTGACACACATGTGGAACGCAGCTTTGGGCCAAGAACCAACTTTTGGACCCTCCTGTAAAGACGTTTTTGAGAGGTCTGCCAATGCTATATGTTAGCATTGGCTAATTCTTCTTCTAGGTCCACCCTCATCGGCCTGGGGTGGTATTGCAAGCATGTCAGCGCACGTCATTTTGGCCACTTTTGAGCCGGGACCCTCCCCCACTGGGTACAACACACAGCTAACAAAATATACAGTACATTATTTAGTAAATATAACTGAAAGATTACCGCCAGTTTCGCATCCAAAGTTTGTCCGAGGAGGTCCCGCTCCCCCAGGCTTGATTTCTTCTTTTACATTTTTTTCGCTTTAGTTACCTCTTCTCTTCCTCACTGTTGTGTTGTTTGGGATGTTTTGCTGTGTCTGCAGTTACAGCCAGGAGTTATAACCACTTTCAGCTTGTTGTTCTGTTTACATGTGCTGCAGACGCTAGAGAAACGAGCGTCATGCAAAAATTTCTACTCAGCTCTTTTTATGGCCTGACTTTATACACAAGCTGAATCAATGAGCTCATTTTTTCAATTGAATTACGGATTTTAATACAACTTTTTATACAGCTTAGAAAAAATACTGTCTACTACAGAAATACAGAATGTTAGTAATGTTAATGCCGTTTTATGTGAATTTGTTGTTATAATAAACAAATGCAGTACATATGTACACTATGTCGTCATTCAAACAACCATTTATAGAAAAATATAGCATCATTTTGCCGATAGTTAGAAATGTGATCAATTACGATTAATTACATTTTAAGCTGTAATTAACTCGATTCAACATTGTAATCGTTTGACAGCACTATAATTTTTCTTTGAATTTTTTTTTCTCAGATGCTGCACCTGAAAAGCAACAAGTACCTGACGGTGAACAAGCGTCTGCCGGCTCTTCTGGAGAAGAACGCCATGAGAGTCATGCTGGACACTGCTGGAAACGAGGGCTCCTGGTTTTACATCCAGCCCTTCTACAAGCTGCGCTCCATCGGGGACAGCGTGAGTGCTAACCTGCTATCATCTTTCATAGATCCTACTGGTGGTTCGGGTTTGATCAATTCATTTCAATGTATTTGTGTAAGGCCCTAAATCTCAACAGCAGTCGTCTCGGAATACTTTACAAAGTTGTGGATTTGCCAACAACAAAGAATCAAACAGATTGAACACGGGAAATACAATAATAACAAACACATAGGAGTCATTGGTCGATAGGAAGCGGCATGGCTCTGTCCAGAAATGTCCATAATGTTCAGGATCATCACTGTCCTTATACTCTTCTGCTTCGGCAAGAAAACATTGAGGAAAAAAGTGAGAAACCTCTGGGCGGCCCATATTGAGAGAGGGCTCCACTACCACAGACTGAAGCTGTAGATCCTGGACTGAGGCTGTGCAATGCAGGACTGAAGAGATTCACAGGCGGGAGAGGGGTGCAGCCCTGAAGTCCAGGCTGGGAAAAACCAGATGCAGATGAAAGAGGTCAGGTTCAGGGGTTTCATCATCACACCATGAAACAGACAAGACAGAGATTGAATAGCAATGAACAGACTTCAGCTGAAGTCATAATGATGATGGATAAAGTAGGAGGAGAGGATAGTGCTCAAGTTACTATGCATCCCCAGCAGTGTCTCTATATGCAGTTTGACTGACAGTGTGTGTCGTTGACTTGAAGTGGTTTTTCTAAGTCTTACCTACCGATCCATATACTCATGAAAACTCCCCCTATTGGTACCGGTTTCCAAAGACAGGACCAAAACCACACTGCTCCACTATTAGTAAAAGTCTCCTCTCTTTTGCCCTAGAGTAGACCTTAAACTACTAAAAATCAACTTACTCAAAGTGAAAATGAAATGAGGACATTTCCGGTGTCTTTTCCTGTTCATACATTTTGTGAATCCATAAATAAATACAGTTAAATCTACATTGTCAAAAATCTACAAACACTAATGGTCAAAGTCCTGGTTCAACAATATTGCCCTTACAGAACACCCATGTTCTATCAGAGCCAGTGTGAGTCCTGCTCTTAATCCAGTCTTAAACCTTCCCCGGTCCTCTGTGGCACCTGCCCAGAACTCCTGTGGCTCCTCTTTAAGCTGCTCAAGTCTCCAAACAACCCTGCAACTGTTTGTGGAGACAGGGATAACAATCCCAATGAGATCCGTGAGCCACAGCTATTTATACTAACGACATTAAACTCTGTTGGTTTTGCAAATAGAGTGAGATCAAGGGAATATCAGGGTTATTTGATTCCACTAGTGTTAGTCCGTTATCTATAGAAGACACATATCAAATCAAATCAATTCCGCTGTTGCTTCTGAAGAGTACACAGAAGAGTAAAACAAAAAGGAACACATAAGAAATACAGCTAGAGAGTAAATTGGTCCATACAATAACTGGGTAACCAATGTTCATAAATGTCCCAGATCAATCCTTGTTTGTGCACCCTCCTGCGTTGGCAAGGAAAACTCAAAAACCCAGTGTGAGAAAAGAGAAATGAGAGAGGAAACAGTTTCCATGAATGAGCAGGCTATTGATCCAGGACTGAGGCTATAGATCCAGGACTGAGGCTATTGATCCAGGACTGAGGCTATTGATCCAGGACTGAGGATGTAGATCTCGGACGGAGGCTGTAGATCTACGACTGAAGCTGTAGATGCAGGACTGACGCTGTAGGTCCAGGACTTAGGCTGTAGATCTGGGACTGAGGCTGTAGATCCAGGACTGAGGATTTAAATCCAGTACTCAGGGACTGTCTGAATCTCTGTCATCTTCTTATTTCCACACACCTCCAGTTTTCTCACTCTCTTTGTCTATGTCTCTTGCAGGTTGTGATCGGAGACAAAGTGGTCCTGAACCCGGTGAACGCTGGCCAGCCGCTGCACGCCAGCTCCCATCAGCTCGTGGACAATCCCGGCTGCAATGAGGTCTCAAACCGTTCTCTCAAAACATTTTCAAAAGCATCACATCGTTGTCTAATGTAGCTTTTCTCAGGTGAACTCTGTGAACTGCAACACCAGCTGGAAGATCGTTCTGTTCATGAAGTGGAGCGACAACCAGGAAATCATCCTGAAAGGGGTTTGTATCTTTTTTTTCAGTAAAATCAAACTGAAACAGACCAAACAGTTCATGTCCTTCTTTCTCCACTAGGGGGACGTGGTGAGGCTGTTCCACGCAGAGCAAGAGAAGTTCCTCACGTGTGACGACCACAGGAAAAAGCAGTACGTGTTTCTGCGAACCACCGGACGCCAGTCCGCCACCTCGGCCACCAGCAGCAAGGCATTGTGGGAGATCGAGGTACGGACTGTGGTGGAGAAAACCTGCATACTGTATCTCTGCTGCTTTATGTATTTGTGGTCATGTCCCATTTCACATGCCTTGAGTAAAGTGAAGTAAAAAGTTTTATTCTTCGCTACAATAACAGTATGAACAAGACAAGACCTGCTCAGCCTCAGGACACTCCCGCAGCCTGGGCTTCCCAACAAACTCTGACCTCCCAGACCCTGTCTCCCAGTCTCTCCTCCTGGTCCTGCTTCCCAGTCAAGACTCAGATTCACACAGATCAAACTGTGTGACTTTTGGACACACCTATATTTTGTAAATCAAAATTACAAGTTGCTTTTGGTTGCATACAAAGTTGCATTCGGGATCAGTTATTGTAGAACAAACGTGTTTAATGTGTTCTCTTCGAGGATCCGTAAAAATCCTTATTTCTCTAGGGTCATGTTGACGTGTTTTGAGCTGCCCTGGTGAGTGCCTCTGACAATTTCCTCTTTGTTCTGAGTTTGTAAAACAAATTTAAGAAAACGGAGAGAATCTCCTGCAGTGCGGGGACAGAGTGACATGTACCATTTCCTGCTGAAATCACTGATTTACTCCAGCTTTAATGTTGACGACATTAAAGCTCATACAGGACACTGAGGGTGTGTGTGGTAATGTACACACTATACAGCCCTTTACTGTTCTTAACACTAGGAGCGCCCCTAGCGGTCAACTGACCGTCACTCACTTTATTATGCTAATTAGTGTATTCAAAACAAAACGCCAGAAGTTGAAATTTTATGACTTTTACTGGGTACTTGTGGTTTATATTTTGGTGTGTTTTGGTTTTGGAAAAAGTAAAGAAAACAAGATTTACACGCATTTTTAACTTTTCTAAACCACAGCCCTTTCTGCTGCCCCATAGAGATACATGGCGCAGGGGCGACTGTTGTCATAGTAACCTTTCCCGGGGGTTTTTCGCGCCTTATAAAAATGTATCAATATGTTGTCATTAGACTCTAAAGGGACTTTTTTATTATTATTTGGGAGAGAGAGGAGTACAAAATGAATAGAGCTGCAAGTACACGGTATGAAGCCCTGACAGTGCTTCAAAACATTGAATGAGAACAGTCTGACGGAGGTGAGATGTCACATTTTGAGGCAGAAAGTGACAGCGGGGAGAACACCTATAATATTCTAAATCTGAACGTAAACCCATAGTGCATTCACGGCACAGACAGCAGTGTTGTAACAAGTCCAGAAGCAATAACTCACATGACCCTCGTAATGCCAGCCATACGCAGTGTCTGTGTGCGCGCTGTCGCTCCATTCTGCCTTTTCATTCATCATCAATTACATTATTATATTTATACATACAAGAAGGCAATAAAACAGAATACAATATCGCAATAAAATAGAACAATTAGATGAACTATCAAGGCAGAGTGCAGATCAGAGTGCTCGTCACCCGCGGACACTGCAGGAGGAGAGCGACTGTGGCAGAGGCGGCCCTCATATATCAATAAGGATATAATTCTGATTTCATCCAGATAACACTGTGTGTTATTCTGCACAGCGCGCACTGCAAGGCAATGATTATAATTTTGTTCTGAGCATAAAGAGCACTGCTTGTCTCAAATAAATACAAATATATATATGCATATATTTGTCTTTCTAACGTGTCCCGTGTAAAATTGAAGATTTTAAATTGACGATGGTAGCCATAGCTGATGATCTTGTGTCAATACGAATACTATTATTATTATCTAGATAATATTTCCCACGGTGATTTCGGCCTCTAAAGAGAAAACAGTCTGGAGATGACGTAAGAAGTAGACGCATATAGCAGCGCGAAGACGTTATGGTCCCGTGCTTTTCTAAACTATAATTTATATTGTTTGAATTTACATATTGTTACTGAGTCAAATATAACATATAGTGTGAACCAACCTTTTAGGTGTTTGCAAAGTTACAAAAATAAATCTAGCCAGAAAAGTCATCGTAATTTTGATGGATCAGTACACGCACAATGTGTCGTCTTAGTCTTTTATTTCGGCTAGAATTACAATTACTTAGCATATTTAGACAAATAATTTACACAGTTTCATTATGATCACGATTCCTTTGCAACATCAAGTTCTGGTTTAGTGAACAATCAATTTGGCAAAAGGCTGTATCAGCGCAAAATACATAGCGGTCAACTGACCGCAGGGGGCGGTGCAAGGTATGTTTAGAGCACGGCGGTCCTAGTGTTAAACAAAGCCAGATGTGCACACAGCCAGTTTGCAGGAAGAGCCACACCCTATAACTAGTTGTTGATACCTTAATTTGCTGTTATTTAGCAACCGCGTTAGCTCGTCATGTCAATGCACAACAGTTCATCACTCACTGTTAAGCTGCAAAATGAACATTGGTGAATGGGACACGTGCAACGGACTTGGAAAAATCTGAAACCTACTGTATGTAAAAAGACCTTTTCTTTTTTTAAATTAAATTATTATTATTTTTTTTCATCAAGAATTTATTCTGTAATTTCATTCTATAATCAGTTTTCAGGAAGAAGTGTAAAGTGTGAGTGTGGTGGTGTTTGCAGGTGGTGCAGCACGATCCATGTCGAGGAGGAGCCGGATACTGGAACAGTCTGTTCAGGTTCAAGCACCTGGCCACGGGTCACTACCTGGCAGCAGAGGTGACACACACACACACACACCCACGCACACCCACGCACACACACACACACACACACACACACACACACACACACACACACACACACACACACACACACACACACACACACACACACACACACACACACACATACACACACTTTCTGTAATGGTCAGGGTTAGGTTCAGGGCAGATCCAAACATGTGGCTGACTGGATAGCACTCTCGCTTCTCATCAAGAAGGTCCTGGGTTCAAATCCCGGTCGGAACAGGGCCTTTCTGAGTGGAGTTTGCATGTTCTCCCTGTTTCTGCGTAGGTTTCCTCCGTGTGCTCCGGTTTCCTCTACCACTAAAAACATGTACAATAGGTCTGGCATGCGTCTCCTGTACTGGCGACCCCGCTCCCATCTCTGTGTGAAGTGAGAGACAAATGCCCAATAATAACAATTGTAAACCGCTTTCTGGTCCGTGAAAGGCGGTATATAAATAAAGATAACTTACTTACTCACTCACTTACAGTAAAGAATCAGACCCCAGGACATGAATGTGCCGAGGAACATCATTTTAACGCAATCGTGTTGCAGCGATTCATATCACACCACATCTTAAAGTATTACTGTATGTGATTGCATGTAGCAGCAGCGGTACTAGTAGAAGTACTAGTACAAGTAGTAGTAGAAGTAGAAATAGCAGTAGAAGCAGTAGCATTAAAATGAGGCAGGTGCAAAGTCCTCAAGTGATTTGTTTTCTGCAGGTAAACCCTGAGTACGAAGAGGAGGGTCTGGAGTCTCGCTCTTCTGTAAGAAACTCTCCATGACAAAAGATTCATTAATCATCTTTTCTACTTCCTTCCATTTATTTGAGCCTTTGACTTTAAGCTGGGGTACCTAACTTTCCATTTTATATGTAACGCATCTTGTTTTTCCCAGCAGAAAAGTAACATCACACTACAACACGCTGTCTTTGTTAGATTAGATTGTATTTTACAATTAGAAGGTGGTCCTGTCTTGTCCACATTTCTGTCGGAAAAAGTTTGGTCGGCCTAAAGATAGAATCACAGGCATATGATAGAAGTAAGCAGTTTTGAGAGCGAGGTCCTCGTTACTGGGGGAGAACCCCTGCTTATGGACGAGAAGGATGAGGAAAGAGACATTAGCTCATTATGTTTGTCCATTTAAAGTTATGCTGTGAAAGTCCCAGTTATCACCAGCGATGTCATCACTGCTCACTTCCCTTCATGACCAGGAGATGGCAGCAATATCTTTCAAATGCATTTCCACCATAGACCTGATTGTCAGTCTTCCATCATTCCTCCAACAAAACCGAGACAATGGCCAAAGACAAGGGCCACTGAAGACGTCGTCATCCACTGCTCAATAATTCTGACTTTTATTGCATTAAAAATTACGGATTTATACAAGGAAACTGTAAGAGACAAAGGAACTGTGGCAGTGGCGATCCAAGGGGCCCCGATACCAACCACATAACCACATAAAAAGATTTATAAAACATAAGGTATAAATATATATTAAATAATGAGGAAAATGCAATATCTATCATTTGTTTACATTAAGGGCTGGTGCTACTGTATGAGACGGGTGGCATCTCTGATTGCCACCCCCCTGACCCAGAAATGGATTAAAGGGTAGATAATGGATGGATGGATGGATGTTTACATTAATATAAATTACATGTAGATAATGTTTTATTTTTAACAATAAATGGATAGGCCTGGGGCTTATGTACAGTCTACCATAGAAAATTGTGAGTATTTCCGAACTTATTGTGATCTTAGCAATGAGAAATAATTTATTATGTCTTTTTATAAACTTGTTCACTACACTCGTCATGTTATAATTAATTACAAAAACTACCTATCAAAGTGTATTAATCCTACAAAATCTAATAATTTGGCCCTCTGTGTTTATATAGTCTATTTAAGCACCAAGGGCCAAATGAAAGATTAGGCTCTTAGCTTTAATCTGAAAAAAACTGCTTGTTTTTACCTTTTACCGTTCTTGAGCAATCTGTCATAGAATATAATACATATAGTTTAATCTGAAACACAGATCTCACCCGGATTTGAACTCAGGCGGTCGCGGCGCAAGCGCTGCAACTTAATCACTAGACCGCTAATACATACAAAGCATTTTTGTCCCCAGGCAGGATTTTTAACTGTTAATGAAGAACGTGGCAAGTTTTGCATCTGACAAAAAGTTTTTATTCGCCAACTCGTCACTGGAAGAAGCTGTTGTAGCCTGTGCAAGTCGACCGCTTGTGTCAAATTTGTCGGCCCTCAGGGGCCCCCTGCCGGTTTGGGGGCCCCAGGCAGCTGCCTGCCTTGCCTAATGGCAAGGGACGCCTCTGAACTGTGGTATCATGCAGAAGTCTGCATGGCGGCTGAGTGGTTAGCACTCTTGCTTCTCTGTCAGAAGGTTCTGGGTTCACATGTTTCCTCCAAGTGCTTTGATTTCTCCTACAAATAAAAACATGTACAATGTGAATCACTCCCCTCTCTCTGGGCCCAGGACCCCTGTAACCTCACTTAAAATAAAGGTCAATATGTAATTATGCGGCAGTGTAAGCTTCAAAGTATTTGCTAGAGACAGTTTCATATGTTCAGGATTTGTTGTGTTGTCCAGAGAGTCCAGGGTGATAGCACAAAAATATTTGTTGTTATAGACCGGGTTTGAACTGGTATTATAAGATGGTGAGAGGTCGTGGACTATGCACAAGTAATATATTTATTGTAAATAACTCAGAATTACTAATAACCAAAATCCAAGCAGAAATGTGTATAAACAAAATAGCTGCAGCTTTGGACGCAGATGTCAGTGCTCAGTCTGGCTTTATGCCCAGATAGATTGGCACCTGGCAGGTGCGGCCATCAGCCAGTGGCTGGTGCTGAGGCGGCAGAGCTGAACGGGTGAAGGAAAGGAAAAATACAGAAGGCAAGGTCCATAACATTAACTTAAATCTGGGATACACAATTTTAAAACCACAAATATAATCTGTTTGGCTCTATAACAGTTTGCTTCTATCACTAGTTTTCACATGCGTATAATAGAACATTCTAATCAGACGAAGAGAGCGTGTTGTGGTCTGATTTATTTACAAAATGTTACGCAAACGAGACTCTGTTGGAACAAACAACTTATGTAACAAGAAAAAATATATCAAAGTTTGCACTGAAATTGCAAGGTCTGAAAAAAAGAATAGCTGAAAATTCACAAGGAAAAAAGTAATGAAACAGGGCAGACAGATGTGGACTTGTGTGGGATCAACAAACCCTCGGCAGAAGGTCTCGCGCTCGTCGTTTAACACAGACCAGACAGACCCGGATAAGGTCTCGCTCTGCTGACAACCTCATATCATCTTGTTTTAATGCATCGCAACAATGATACCACCGCCACAGAGGCCTATCATAGATGAAAACATAGCCCTCATGCTGTTATACACATCAATGACAATATCCAGTAATAACTACACGTATACACACGCACTAACACACACACACTCTTTATAAATTATAATTTCAAACCTGCACACATAATTTACATATATCAATATAACAGATGAATAACTTGTATCTGGTTCGAGAAGGGATTGGATGAAGCAAATGCTTACACACGCTCACACACACCTACACATGTTTCCAAATAAAGAGAATTTAATAAAAGAAAAATATAAACTTTGCATTACCGGTAGTGTACTACTAAAATCCTCAGTTTCCTTGTATTATTTCCTATAGATTCTGACTTTGTGACCTGTGTGTTGTGTGTTTTGCAGATGGAGCTGGAGCAGGAGAATCGCGCTCGCCTCAGAAACGTCCAGGACAAAGTCATGTACACGCTGGTGTCTGTCCCCGACGGCAACGACATCTCCTCCATTTTTGAGCTGGACCCCACGACACTGAGAGGGGGCGACTCCATGGTGCCCAGGTCAGACCCCCACTGCCAATTCAGAGGCATGTATGAAAAGTATTCATACATGTCTTGTTGGGTATACAAACTGTAGTAGTAGTAGGTAACACAGTTTTTCAAAACCGATACAATACCTACATTTGAGGACTTGCCGTTACCGAGTACCAGTAGGAACACTGAATTGTGTTATCCCCAAGCCCCAGTGATCCAAGATGGCGCCCTATTCAAATGAATGGCTTGTGCTCAGTAGCGTCTGGTCCTCCCGGTTCTGCACAGTGGGCGAGGTCCCATGATGCGTTGCGCCAAGTACGCGTGTGTGGCTTTCATGCACGTGCACAGAGGGGCTCGGCTGTGCTTTGACCAATCAGAGCTTCTGATCAGAGCAGCGGTAGAGCGGAGTCAGAGCGGGAAGGAAAGGAGCAGAGTTTGTGGCAGTAAAGTGTGGATTTAAAGAAAACCGAAGGATTTAAGAAGAAAAGAAAGAAAGAAAGAAAAAAGTTCAGGATGGCAAGGGACACAAAAATCCCCACAAAATCCGATCTTTATGAAAGCTGCATGTTCTCTGTCAGCTGAGGTCGAGCTGGTTTAGTTTATATTGAGTTCTATGGGACTTTTTTCTGGGTAGCAATTGTTTAAACAGTTAACAATAAGAGCCACTGTCAAATTCCACTCATACAAATGCTATAATGTTGTACACTTTTTATTCTCCGGTGCTAGCAAAGGTGATATTGCGTGTAGTGGTCAGTTTTCAGATGTTTGATCAAGTTGCTGGTGTTTTACGTGTTTGTTTTGGAGGTAAGTGACTTCTCACTGCAGACTTCCGGAGATCACCATGGCAACACGTGCCGCACAGCTGTCTGCTGTCATAACGCTAATGTAAATTAAAAATGTGGGTATCGGCTGCGGGTATCGAGTGCTATGGTATGAGTACGAGTACAAGCGTATGGTATCGACCCGATACCTGATACCAGTATCGGTATTGGTGCATCCCTAAATTGTTGTTGGAGACTGTTGTCACCGTTCTCGTTCCATCAATGTTGCGTTTTGATTTAAGTCGTAATGGACCTTTGATACTTGTTTCGTCGTGTTCCGTTCTGCTTCTCCCTCAGAAACTCGTACGTGCGTCTCAGACACTTGTGCACAAACACGTGGGTCCACAGCACGAATCAGCCGATCGACAAAGAAGAGGAGAAGCCCGTCATGCTGCGCGTGAGTTTCATCTTTCATTTTTTATTTGGGATTTATATAGTAGCAGCAGTAGTAGTAGTAGTAGTAGTATTAGTAGTAGTAGTAAGTGAATTAACTAATCATAGTAGTATTTTATTTGTAGTTTAGTAGAAAAAAACACAAATATATTAGGAGCTCCACAATGATGAATTCAGAAGATTAACAAAAATCTTGTGCAAGGAGCGGACTCTGACATCAATCAATCACTGGTTTGAATTCCATCTGCATACATTCCCTCCTGGTGCTCCGGTTTCCTTTAACACTAAAACCATGTACAATATGCCCATCTCTGTGTGGAGTGACAGGACAAAACCCCACAACAAATGTAAAGCGCTTGGTAACCTGTTCTGTGAAAGGTGCTATATAAATGAACAATACTTAGCTGTATTTGATCATACTTTGCTGTGTATTTTGTGTTTATGAGTGGTGGCTCTGCGCAGATCGGTACGTCCACACAGAAGGAGGACAAAGAGGCATTCGCCATCGTCCCTGTGTCTCCGGCTGAAGTCCGAGATCTGGACTTTGCCAACGACGCCAGTAAAGTCCTGGCCTCTATCGCTGGAAAACTGGAGAAGGGAACGATCACGCAGAACGAGAGGAGGTACAGGCACAAGCGCCAACACGACCTATTCAAAACTCACACATTACGCAAAGTTCTCTCTTTTGAGTTTTTTTTTGCCATGCACAACTTTGTTCCATATACAAAATTAGACCAGTAGTGCTTTTAATCCTTTCACAAACACTTTTCAAACTTGCCGAAGAGAAATCTGTCAGGCTATGACGTCATATTCAAAGTTGATTTCTGCCTTTTTGAAACAAAAGTATTACAAATGAGTGCTGTCAAACATTTCAAATATTTAATTGCAATTAATCATATTAAGGCCATAGTTAATTTACGATTTATCTTCGTTAATCACACATTTTCTCCTGTTATAAATGTCCCTTGATTATGTTTGAAAAGGCATTGGATGAAGCAAAAAGCTTATATCAATCCAATTTTATTTGAAAATCCAAAAGTATTTGGACCACTCAATCTCTGCTTTATCTCCTGCTTTCTCCTCCAGACTTTATCAATAGCGAACTGTCTAAATGACGTCACTAAGACACGCCCCCGCCGCCTGTCAACTCCCGCCCACATGTTTTGGACAAACACTGCCGAAATGAATCAAATACCACTTGTCACTTTAGATGAAAATGATATACCAGGGGCAAAATTCCACCATCAAACCATCAGGGATCATAGTGTAGACCAATTAAAACGTTGGCTTGAATGTCGTGGTCTGTAACTGGTAGAAAGTTTGAGTTGATAAAAAGGTAATGGTGAGGATTATGCTAACATTATCTAGCTAGTCATTTAAATTGCAATGCTAGCGCCTTCTTTGTTTATTTTGCTGTGATTAACTTCCATTTATCAAGTCAATCAATGTTTTTTGCACTGTCCATTTTGTAATTAGTTTGATCATTAGTTAGCTACTGTCAGCCGATATTATAATAGATTCATGGGGTCACACGGGCTACGCCACTACTGTCTCTGAGAGAGAAACTATCGGAGCTAGCCACACTCAATAAACGCAAATGACAATCAATCGACACATTTAAATGTTAATGGGAGAATATATTATACATGCATTCATAACACACGTGCACGGAGGTTTTCAGAATTATCTGTTAAGGTTTTCATGACAAAAAAAACGTTTTTAATGCGACTAAAGCGATCGCTTTTTTGAAGTAGGTGAACTTGCCTCACTGTTACTCGCCTGCCTCGGGTAAACCTTTGGGAACTATTTTCTTTGCAGTCATTAAATAAACCTTTGATTGTGACTGAAGTTAATTTTGTGTGTTCAGTTGGTACAAAGCAGTATAATAAGCGGACCCGACGCGCTTCGTCTGTACTTATTTTCCGATAGTCACGAAGTTGAAAAAATCCCTCTCATCTTTCTTCAGGTGTGAGAATTGTATACATTCGGGATTAGGACAAACAATACTAATATGGATTGATGGGGGTAAATGGTATTAAGAGAAAGTTAGTGCTAACTACATTGCGAAGAGCTCAGACGGACCTGATACAGCGGTCCAGACGGTCCAGGTCCAGTCCAAGCTAAACGTAGCTAGGACTGGATCTGGATGCTCCACAGTTGGTCCAGTGTGTGTTTTGAACAAATAAGAGTCATTTTTAACATTTTCATGAGAGAAATTCTGCCGACCACAAGCACCCACCTCTTGCACTTGTCCTGGTCTGGTCCTGGTCTGGTCCTGGTCTGCTTCGATGGTGTGGTTTAACGAACGGGTTGAATGTTACTGCTTTCATATAGTCCTTTTCAGATTATCTGAAATCGCTCCGACAAGCACCATAACTGCAGTGTTTTGTTGTCACCATGATTCAATGATTTAGCCCAAATAAATACACACGCGTATGCGGAGAACACAGTAGTACTCAATGGAGTCGGACAGAGTTTGTCATCTGAGCTATTTTTAGCACATTTCGGAAACCGGACAGTGCCCTATATCATAGAATATCACATTTAGATGTGATTCATGATCAAAATGTGATTCATGTGATAAAGAATCAGTTTGGAGGTAAGTATTGTAGAAGCTGCAAAGTACACCTTCGTCTGCCAAGAAATGTACAGAATGTTCTTGTGGCTCAAATAATAAATGTCACTTATATAACATGCTCAGTGTCATATTATTCATCAGAAACGCTCACACCTCGTTACGGTCTCCTTTGACTGTGCACTGGGCTCTTCCTGTTCTTTCCTCTGTCAGAACATGTTGAGCTGCAGTTACATTTGTAGACGTGATGTGACCGGCTTTAGCTGCATCTGTGCATAAATGGCTACTACTGCTACTACTGTTCGTACTACTGCTATTACTGCTAGTCCTACTGCTACTGCTATTAGTACTACTGCTACTACTGTTAGTACTACTGCTACGACTGTTAGTACTACTGCTATTACTGTTAGTACTACTGCTATTACTGTTAGTACTGCTGCTACTGCTGCTACTATAACAACTACTACTACAAATTCTGCTACTGCTACTATTTACAACAGCCTGCCTTGAATTGTTTTGTTTCTATCATCTAAGCGGAATGTAATTTCCCCATTCTACATGTTTAATACATCCATACATGTTTTACTTTTTTTTAGATATTCTGAAACATGACATTCTCACAATAATATTCTCTAGATCACTATTTTGCCCTACTGTATACTCTTATGTGAGTAGAGTAGAGCTGGTGGAAATGGGGTTGTTGTCTCCTTTAACACTTGAATCTGTGTTTGTTGCGTTTCTTAACTAGAGCAGTTACCAAACTCCTGGAGGACTTGGTGTTTTTTGTGGTGGACATTCCCAACAATGGACAAGACGTGTTAGAAATTATGGTCAACAAACCAAACCGAGAGAGACAGAAGCTGATGAGGGAGCAGAACATCCTCAAACAGGTGCCGGAATCATGGCTTCTTTTAGAATCTCGCAGCTTTCCCTTCGACTTGACTGATCTGACAATAGACATTTGTTCTGTGCTTCTTTTGAAAGTTGATTTAGATGTTGTCTCAACACGCCATTTCTTTTTGTTGTTGAAATTTAAATGATAAAGTTTTTAAAACCGAAACAAAACATTCCCTAAAGCAAGATTCAAACAGTGTTGCCATGGTGACTATTGCCATAGTAAGGACGGTAACTGTAATGGTAAGAGGTTCCATGGTAACAGTTGCTATCGCAATCACTATGGCAACTGTTGCAATACAAAATTTCATGCAACTTCTGTTTTGGGAGTTTGTTTCCAGTTGCCATATTGATTGCCATAGCAACAGTTGCCATAGTGATTACCATATCAGTGGTTGCCATAGTGACTATTGCCATAGCAATGGTTGCCATGGTGACTATTGCCATAGCAATGGTTGCCATGTTGACTATTGCCCTAGTAGCGGTTGCCATGGTGACTATTGATATAGCAGCGGTTGCCATGGTGACTATTGCCCTAGTAACAGTTGCCATAGTGACTATTGCCACAGCAACAGTGGCCATGGTGACTATTGCCATAGCAACTGCTGTCATAATGACTATAACCATAGCAACAATTGCCATGTTGACTATTGCCATAAAACGGTTGCCATGGTGTCTATTGTCTTAGCAACTGTTGTCATGACTATTGCCATAGCAACACTTTCCATGGTGACTATTGCCATAGCAACAATTTCCATGGTGACTATTGCCATAGCAACCTTTCCCATGGTGTCTGTTGCCATGGATACTATTGCCATAGCAACTGTTGCCATAGTGATGGTTGCCTTGGCAAGCTTTTTTGGGAGTTTGTTCCCAGTTGCCATAGTAATGGTTGCCAGGGTAACAGTTGCCATAGTGACTGCCATAGTGACTGTTGCCATGGTGACTATTGCCACAGCAACGGTTTCCATAGAAACGGTTGCCATGGTGACTATTGCCAAAACGTCTGTTGCCATGGTAACTATTGCCATAGCAACTGTTGCCATGGTGACTATTTGCCATAGCAACTGTTGCCATAGTGATGGTTGCCTTGGCAACCTTTTTTGGTAGTTTGTTTCCAGTTGCCATTATAATGGTTGCCAGGGTAACAGTTGCCATAGTGATTTCCATGGTGCCTATTTCCATAGCAGCGGTATCCATGCAAATATCTCGCAACCTCCTATTTGGGAGATTCTTTCGAGTTGCCCTAGTGTCAGGTTGCCAGTTTGCCAAAGTGATTTTGGTTAGCATATGTATGATTGCCAGGGGCAGTGGTCTCCATGGCAACTGTTACTATGGCAACTGTTACCCTGGCAACCATCACTAATATCAACCAACTGTTACCATGACAAAAGACAGATAATCTGGTTAATTTCTTCCAAAATATTTTTGGGACTTTGATCCCGAACATGTTTTTTTCACTATAACTATATGTTATTAAGTATTAAGAATTATGATGATGTACTGTGTTTTTACAATCTTTAAGTTGTTGTCGATTCAACCACATCACAAAACCTTTGTGATGTGGTTGTATGACCCTAGTGTACTGAAGTTAGTGGACCGCTGTAGACCCATATTATAAGCAACAACCTAGAAAACAGTTTGCTGTCACATCTGTATTTGCTGTATTTGTGCTCAGTAAAATCTTCTTGTGGGACGGTATTTGTTAGATCTTCAAGCTGCTGCAGGCTCCCTTCACGGATAGCGGCGATGGGCCCATGCTGCGGCTGGAGGAACTCGCCGACCAAAGACACGCCCCCTTTCGACACATCTGCCGCCTGTGTTACCGAGTGCTCCGTCACTCACAGCAGGACTACCGCAAGAACCAGGTACTGTTGGGAACAATGGTACACAATACATGGTACATGGTAATACAATAATGATAATAAAAAATAGTGAGTTTGACATCTTCTCAACATGGTAATGGACTATGTGTTATTATCATGATTTACAAAAAACCCATAACTTTTCAAATTTTGATGAGAAATTGACATTTTTATGCATGTTTTAAGAGTTATGTTTTGCTTGTTTTTTTAACCTGCTGTAAAGTGTGTTATTAATAAAAATGTATTTTTATTATAATTATTCATATTGTAGTGTACCTTATTACAGGTTATTACCACATACCTAACCCTCATCCTCTCGTTCCTCTGTCCCGCTTGACCCTCTTAACCCTCCTGACCCTGTGACCCTTAGGAGTACATTGCCAAACAGTTCCGGTTCATGCAGAAACAGATCGGTTATGACGTTCTGGCAGAGGACACGATCACCGCGCTGCTGCACAACAACCGCAAACTCCTGGAGAAACACATCACGGCGGCGGAGATCGACACGTTCGTCAGTCTGGTGCGAAAGAACCGCGAGCCCAGGTCTGGACCAGAGATCAACGGGGTGTCACAGAACACACACCTCTGATAGCAGCTCTATTGGCAATAAGCAGGAGGCAAACCAGATCAGAATTGTTGCAAATTGTATGAAGTAATTGCCATTTTCATTCAGATTGTTCCATAGTTCTATTGTAATCAAAAGGTAAAGAAAAAATAATAACCATCGGCTGTATATACTGTGGGGATGGACAGTGTTGTAACTTGCTAGCTTGATGAAGCCCTAAATTTCTCATGGCAACTTTTTTCTCCTCACCTTTTCTCCATTAATTTACATTGAGAAGTAAACTGTCCTTACTCTGTGGTTACGCTCAGTGGTTTTCAGACCGGTCCTCATTCCAACAAAGCAGGATGAGGTCTGGATTGGAGTCTGATGTGCTCAAAAAAAACAACCTGCAGCCACACCAACACTTTGAGGACCGATTTGAAGACCACTGGACCACTGATCCCGATGATCCTTATGTTATTTGATCATGTCTTTTCAAATCCAGATAGGATTTGAGTTTAGCTCTGATAGGTTTCCTCTTTGGATGACATTAGCATTTTGTCCACTCCTTTTACAGTCAATGAGAATTACTCTCATTTTTGTGTATTCTGAGGGATTACACATATTGTGATATATTTTGTGGTTAGGTTCCTGGATTACTTGTCGGACCTCTGCGTGTCCATGAACAAGTCCATTCCTGTGACCCAAGAGCTGATCTGTAACGCAGTCCTGGACCCGACCAACGGAGACATCCTCATCGAGACCAAGTGAGTCAACTCTGCTGCTTCCAATGTGTTTGAGTCAGGACCACTGCATATAGACAGGCTGTTGTATTACTGTTTAATCACTTAATATTCATATTTAACAACTAAACATGATAAAATATGACATGTTATTTGTGTAATTATTGACTCTTGACCTTTACCATGAGTTGTATTGAATATACGTATGTGTCTTAAATTTAGTCGTGGTTGTAAAGAACATTGTTTAAGGCGCGTATTGCCAAAACTAAATTGTTAGGTTAAATAGCCTCTAAAGCTCTGAGTAGTGGTATTGACCTGAATGGAGCTAAAAACAAGTCGTTTTCGGTAAGGAAAAAAAGCTGGGGAGAGGCAGTTATTGGTATTGCGTATTTTGTTTGATACGCAAAATACAAATAATAAAATCTTTTGGATTTGTTGGTAACAGCTTGAATCAGTGGAGAGGTAAGGTAACTCTACTTACAATTAGAATTCAGGCTTTTGAACGGTAAAACGGTAAAACGGTAGAACGGTATCACATCCATAAATTTTCCTCTGCTTTACCACAACAGTCTGGATTGATCAGTCCGTCCATCTCATGCCCCATTCTTCCCTCACTGAGACCTCAGACACTTGCACTCCACCACTTGAGGAAAGACTTGGTGCATTAAATATAATACACATAAGTAAATCAAAGGGAACCTTAAAGCAATACTCTGGTTGCCCATGGCAATAACACAGTGTTCTCATTATAGACTGGTGCTGTCCCGCTTTGAGATCGAAGGACATTTGGGTGAGACAACAGAGGAGGACGAGGAGGACGAGGAGGAGGTGTGGCTCTTCTGGAAGGACAGCAACAAAGAGATCCGGAGCAAAAGTATCCGAGAACTGGCCCAGGACGCCAAAGAGGGCCAGAAGGAGGACCAGGAAGTCGTCAGCTACTACAGGTATCCAACTACAGGTGTAAGGACATGAAAAAATACGCAAAAATATAAGTCTGATAGATGACAAAGCATTGTTTGTCGTATTGTGCTGATCACAACATGCTGTCTTATTGAAAAATGGGTTATTTTGTGCATACTTCTAAGAGAAAACCCTGTGAGATCACTATTTGACTCTTTGGGCTGAGAGCTGATTGGCTGAGTGAGGGTGGTCCTCTCTTTTTCACTCTTTTGTCTGAACGTTATGAACATTTTGATAGAGGCCAAAAAATACATGCATGTGATAGAAGCAAGCTGGAAATAGTGCATTTCATTTCATTACATATTATTCATTACAATCTTTTCTGGTTTGAAAGCTTGGTATCCCAGCTTTAGTGTCAATAATTATAATGATTTTTCTTTTATATAGTGCTTTTTTGGACACTTAAAGACTCTTTGCATGGCAAAGACTAGTAGTTGCAGCTGCAGCCGCCCCACTGTGGCACCTGGTGTTCCCAAAGGTTTCCCATCACAGTACTAATCAGGCTCTGCCCTGCTTAGCTTCAGAGGTCTGACAGGATCTGGCTTTCACTTGCAGGTGGCGCCACACAATAACACTTTTGCTCTGACCCGTCTCGTCTTAGGTACCAGCTGAACCTGTTTGCACGCATGTGTCTGGACCGGCAGTACTTGGCCATCAACAAGATCTCGGGGCAGCTGGACGTGGACCTCATATTGAGATGCATGTCGGACGAGGACTTGCCCTTCGACCTGAGGGCCTCTTTCTGCAGGATGATGCTGCACATGCACGTGGACCGCGACCCCCAGGAGCAGGTCACCCCCGTCAAGTATGCCCGACTCTGGTCCGAGATCCCCTCCGAGATCGCTATCAACGAGTGAGTTTGTGTCGTTGTAATGTTCAACTTGGTTCTTAAAGGGTTGTGTTGGGGCTGGTTTTCATTCCAACCAAGCAGGAGCAAATTCAGACCATAGATTGTATTGAGGAGTGTGACGTCACCATAGTGTTAGCATTAATGCAGAAGAAGCCAGCTGGAGACAATTTCCAGTGTATATGGGAAGCAAATAACCAAGAGAGCCTTGCGATGCGTAGAGTGGGCGCACTCTCACTTCTGGTTTTGAATACCCGTCCGAACAGGGCCTTTTTCAGTGGAGTTGTACTACCTGTGTCTGTGAAGGTTTTCTCCAGGTGCTCCGGTTTCCCTTACCACTAAAAACATGTACAATAGGTCAAATTCCCCAACTCTTGTCCTGACCGAGAGCTTCAGCATCTGGAGCAAAGATGGGTCCTGGATGCTAACATGTTTGCTCAATGAAGCCCAACAGGGAAGAGCTCATTGACAAAGTTTTGCTCCAAATTGCTCTGCCTCCAGTTGACTTACATGGAAAAGTAAACTCCTCTAGCTCAGTAACTGTTTTGGGCATAACACATCTGTGGTTTAGCACTCTCTCTAATCATCACCATCAAACGTTATTACAGTGTCTATACAGTGTTATTGTCTTTGTAAATCCAGATATGAGCCTTATTAGAATTGACCAATCAGATGCGGGGGTAACATCAGCTTTCTTTAGCAACAATCTTAGAAACTTCTCTCCCCCTGTTAGAGCATGAAGCAAACACAGCAAAACATAGGAAAGTGGCTTCAGTTAGCTTATGTTCAAAACGGTTTCTTCCGCGTTAAGACAAACACTATGGTGATGTCACACTCTGTCAGCCCACTCCTAATGTACGTTCTATAACCATTACGTTGACCGTAACCATCGTAAGAAATGATTGCAGTCAATTGGTTGTCCGGGTAACCATAAACACACCCCTGTTAATGAGCACTGTTCCTGAAATGAAAGATGAAAATAAATTGCGTTCCAAAAATGAAAGACAGTTTTTACGAGCTGCAATTCCTTCTGTTCTCAGCTACGACAACGACGGCACGTCCAAAGACGAGATAAAGGAGCGTTTTTCTCAGACCATGGAGTTTGTGGAGAACTACCTGCGGAACGTGGTCTGCCAGAGCTTCCCCTTCGCCGACAAAGAGAAGAACAAGCTCACGTTCGAGGTGATCTCAACAGAACCTGAACCTGATACAAGGGTGTAGTAATAGATCGATGGATGGATGGATGGATACTTGATCTGCCATAGAAGAAATTCAGGTGTCCAGCAGCGGAAACACATCATCCATACAAAAAACCCCAACACAATTCTAAAAGTTACTAGTTGGTCGACACAGTGGCTTCTCAGCAAGAAGGCTTGAATCACTGTCAGAACAGGGCCTTTTGAGTATGCCCTGGAGTTATATGATATTAGGATGAATTTTTATTGTATTTTTGTCTAACCTAAACGCTAACTGATGTGAAGAACATAACTTAGCGTAGAAACATGTTTTGAGCCAATACTTTTTTAGCTGGAGTATTTATTTATTTTTAGTGTAACAAGGTTTAAAAAGGAGTATTTGAATAGAAGGGACGGGGGGGACATGTTGAGCTCTCAACCTGACCCGTATGAACCACTCTTCTCTTATTGCAGGTGGTGAATCTGGCCAGAAACCTGATTTATTTTGGCTTCTACAACTTCAGCGACTTGTTGCGGCTCACAAAGATCCTTCTGGCTATTCTGGACTGTGTGCACGTGAGCACCATGTTCCCCTTCACCGGCCTCAACAAGACGGACGACAGCAAAGGTCAGACTTGTCCACTCATATGCCCTTCACCTGCACTGACAGTGTTCCTATCCAAATCATGAATGATGATTTAGATCACGGCCCCCTGGTGGCCACAGTGTGATTCTGCATCAACACAGTCTTAATGAACCTGGAATAATCAAAGCCAATTTAGCTGTGAAAATGTGCTACACATAATGAGTCAGAAAAATGCTATAAGAATAAACTTGTGGACCTCCATAACTTTTTTGTTTAAAAATACATAATTAATGAGTATATAAGTATTTGTAAATGTTTCATCAAAAACAATTTTGGGGGTTGCAAAAACTTTGAGAGCATGACAAGTGTTAGCATGGATGGCAACTATAATAGTAACAGTTGTCATAGTGATGGTTGCCATGGCAACTGTTGCTAAGGCAATCAAAATAGCCACTGTTATCCTGGCAACAATCGGCATTGCAATTGTTACTATGCCAATCACTATGAAAACTGTTACCATTGACAACCATCACTATGCCATCTTTTCCATGGCAACTGTTACTATTACAGTTGCCATCCATGCTAAACCTGTTTTAATGCCAAATTTCTTGCAACCTTTCTTTTGGGAATATCTTTACAGTTGCCAAAGTGATGGTTTCCAGGGCAACAGATGCCACTGCAACGGTTTCTATGTTGGCTATTGCCATTGCAACCGTTGCCATGGTAAGTCTCCAAAGTGATGGTTTCCATGGCAATGGTCACCATGGCAACTGTTGCTATGGTACCAGGGTAGTTGCCATAGTTATAATATAAGAATATAATAACCATGCCAACCATTGCTATGGCAATGGTCACCAGGTAAGGGTCACCATGGCAACTGTTGCTATGCCAACTGTCACCGTGGCAACCGTTTCTATGGCAATAGTCACCGTGGCAACCGTTGCTATGGTAATGGTCACCATAGAAACCGTTGCTATGCCATTGGCCACCATGGCAACCGTTGCTCTCGCAATGGTTACCATGGCAACTGTAGCTATGCAATCACTATGGCAAGTGTTACCCTGGCAACTGTTACCTTTTTCTTTACAGTTGGCATAGCAACGGTTGTCAGGGTAGTTACCCTAGCAACTGTTGACATGGAAACCATCATTATGGCAACTGTCTGGACATAGCAACTGTTACTATGACAACGGAAAGTCAATCTGGTTTATTTCTTGCAACTTTGTTCTCAAGCATGTTTCTCACTATATTTGTACGATTGTAGTAACCAGTATTAAGAATTATGATTATCTACTGTGTATAACATAGTAGCAGTTTGTAAGATTTTCAGAAAGTTTGTAATCCGGATAGCCAGGACTCACCGCGTCGAGCTAATCTCACTGGTAAAGAACCATGTGATTCTCAAATCCTTAATGACAAATCAAGGAATAAAACAGGGATTTCAATCTTTGTGAAAAAGGTGGTGGTTATAGATTTGTTGTTGACAAAACTCTTGTCTATTCAGATATTATGGTCTGATTCGTCTCCATATCTGGCAACCTGAGTCAAGGAGAGTTGGAGAGGTCGCAATACCACTTTTGGCCAGATTTTTAAGTTGCTGTCAATTCAACCACATCACAAAACATTCTTTATCAGGTTTTATGATGTCTGGACTCTAGTCTACTGAGCTGATCAAGTTCGTGGACCACTTGCAAGTTTAGTTGGTGAACCCTGCCCTACACACTGCAAGTGCAGCTATCTCTGAAGATTTGTGCCTAACGATGTAAGGGCTGTTAGTCAGCAAGCGAGCTGTGTGAGCTCAGTGTTTCAGAAGTTTTTTTTACTCTTAGTACTGGGATTGGGCAGTGTTGTGTGTCTCTGAGATTATTGTTCAGGGCTGTGTGTTTCTGATTGTGCAGTATTTTGTGTCTCTGTGATGATTGTTCAGTGTTGTGTGTCTCTGTGATGATTGTTCAGTGTTGTGTATCTGTGTGGTTCCAGGCGGTAACGTGATGCGCTCCATCCATGGCGTGGGCGAGCTCATGTCTCAGGTGGTGCTCAGAGGCGGCGGCTTTCTGCCCACGTCTTCCAGCGTCCCTTCAAACCCCACCGCCACCAAGACTCAGACCGAGCCGGAGAAACAGGACATCCTGGTCATGGACACAAAGCTCAAGATCATCGAGATCCTGCAGGTACTGAAGGGACCTGCAGGATGGGAAATAGTTGTGGGGGAGAAATCGATCCTGTTCAGTATCGCAATATTTGGAAAAAATAAATGGAAATATATATGACAACATAGTGTACATATGTACTGTATTTGTTAATTCTAAGAATAAATCCACATAAAACGGCCTTAATTTTCTGTAGTAGACAGTATTCTTTCTAAGTTGTATTAAAAGTATTAAAACCCGTAATTTGATTGAAAAATTGAGCGCATTGATTCAGCTGTGTGTATGAATATTTACAGTCTATGGTATGAATTCAGGCCATAAAAAGTGCTGAATAGAAACTTTGCGTGACGCTCGTTCTCCTAGACCACGCCTCCTCTAGCGTCTGCATCGCATGTAAACAACAGCAGCATGGTAGGAGAAGGTGGCTATACCTCCTCTGGCTGTAACTGCATACACAGCAGTAAAACAGCCCAGAAGACGCAAAAGTGAGGAGGAGAATAAGGAACTAAAGCAAAACAATTATTTGAGAAGAAATCAATCCCGGATGAACATAGCTAGCTTACATCGCATCCTCTGGAGAGACCTGCGGGTGTGGACCACCTCGCACTACATTTGTACGTGAAACTAGCGGTAATCTTTTAGTTGATGTACTGTATATTTTTAGCAATGCGTTGATTTTGTACCATTTCATCAGTGATAGCTGTACAGCTTATAAGAATTTGTGCTGATGCTAACCAATGCCTACCTGGTGTCGCCATCTCACATGCATGTGTTATTATTATAGATCCATGATGTGTCCGCGTCACTTCTGAGTGTTATTATGGGATGCATGGGCGGGTCATTTGCTACATGCGTTAAATGTGTTAATTTTTTAACGCAATCAATGAAACATTTTATTAACGTGCGTTAACGAGATAATTTTGACAGCCCTAAATGAAATATCTCTGAATTTATTCTGATAATTAACATCTGAAGTTGATGTTACTCTGTTATTTGTGCTTTTTGTCACTCTAGTCCAGGGGTATCAACCCAGTTCCGGTGTGGCTGCAGGTTTTAGATCCAACCCGAGCAAGAGCATATCAGATTCCAACTTTTTCCCCAAATCTTCAGGTTAAAACTGGACTCAACTGAAGAAAAGGGTGGTGTAATCCTGCTCAGGTTGGAACTAAACCCTGCAGCCACATCTGCCCTTTGAGGACTGGTTTGACACTTCTGCTCTAGTCTCTTGTATTTGAATATTGTGAGAGGTCGCCTATTCTGTTGGTGCAGACAGTGGTTAGGGCTTGTGCCTCACAGCACAGCAAAGGTCCTGGGGTCGATTCCACCTGCAGAACTTTCTGTGTGGTGTTTCCATGTTCTCACTGTCAAAAATAAGAACAATAGTTCTGGCATGTGCCTCCTGTATGGTGCAGGATAAATGTTCAAGGATAAAGATTATACACTTTTCAGTTAATGTACAGTCTTATTTTCCTCAAATTCTGTCATGCCTTTGAATAATATGAGGGACATGAATTGCAATAATTACACTACTTGCTGTACTTCATTAATTAATGCCAATTCCCATTAGCCTATTCTGACTTTATACCTTCCTCCATGAGCAAGGAGCAACTAAATAGAAATACAGTGTGAAACTTCTGTATGGTTGTAGAAGGTGTAGATCCAAGACTGAGGCTGCGGATCCAAGACAAGACTGACAAAATGTTTTACTTTTTTTACAAGAGACTTATTACTATAACAAATAAAGTTGTTATCTTTTCCTTCCAGTTCATTCTGAATGTGCGTCTGGACTACAGAATCTCTTGTCTGCTTTCCATCTTCAAGAGCGAGTTTGACGAGAGCAACTCCCAAAACAATTTCTCCATCTCTGGAGCCGTGGAGGGCCCCAACAACATGCCTGGTCAGCATCCACTCTCTCATCTACTATTATCAACTGTACTCGACTCTAATCGACTATACCATAGACTGTAAATATTAATGGACCTAGCCACGCCTATCTCTGCCTGTGAAACTAATGTGCCACCATTTTTGCCTTCTATGGGGCTTTATAAAAATGGCCGCGGGCATCCCCTCCCGCAGGAACATTTGATAAAATGTATTTGCGCATGCGTTAGCCGGCACCAGCCCCATTCATTTAACAACTTTTGGACCATCCTGTAACCCCGTTTTCCAGAGGAAAGAAGACGCCATACAGAAGTATTGGGTAATTTTTATTCCGGGTCCACCCCCACCAGCTAGGAGTGAAATTGCAAGCATGTCAGCGTACATGCTCATGTACCTTTTGGAGCCGGTGTTCTGTCGAGTTGGTCTGCCCGTCGAGATGATCTGCCTCAGCTGTTGATGATGTAATGCAAACCAGCGCTGCGCATCTCACGGCAGCCAAAGGAAACCAAGATGGCGGACATGTAGTCCTCGAATTGCTTTAAAAGTTAAATACGAAGGAGTTAAGACACAAATGTCACTTTTAATGCAATTTCCACGTTCCAAGTTCCACGTTGTGATATGTGTGTTTTAAGAGTAAGAGTTTCGTGTAAAGTTTGTTTTAAGCAGTCCACTGCTCCAGTGAAACTACACTGCTAGTGTGCCCAAATCTGACTTGCGCATGCGCATGTCCGCCATCTTGGATTGCTTCGGCTGCCGTGAGACGCGCATGCGCAGGTTTGCATTACATCATTAACAGCTGAGCCAGATCATCTCGACGGGCTGACCAACTCGACAGAACACCGGGACCTGCCCCCTACTCTACTATACTCCACTATACTGTATAAGTTCTGCCCTCTTTATAAAACCCTAAATCTCTTTATAAAGAGAAAGTAAAAGTGGCTCTTTCTTTTGAGACATAAAATAATCACCTCTGGTGATCGGCTGCTTTTCAACGTTTTAATGATGTGTTTCCGTTGACAGGTGCGCTGGATTTTGAGCACATAGAGGAGCAGGCGGAGGGCATTTTTGGAGGAAGGTAAAGGAGCTGTACGTGGGTTTGGTCTCAGCTGGAGACGTTGTGTGTGTTTAGTGCCCACTCTTTCTCCCCAAAACTCTAACTAAAACTATAGACATCCAACCCCATCCTTCTGTTCTGCTGTGAAGGCATCTGTGGAAACAAATTAGGGAAAATAAAGGTCTATATTTCTATCTAGTGAGGAGAACACTCCGCTGGACCTGGACGACCACGGCGGACGCACCTTCCTGCGGGTCCTGCTTCACCTCACGATGCATGACTACCCCCCGCTGGTTTCCCGCGCTCTGCACCTGCTCTTCAGGCACTTCAGCCAGAGGCAGGAGGTGCTGCAGGCCTTCAAACAGGTGACCGCTGCAGATGGACTGGACACAGCTGCAATAGAACTCTTCATGTTGAGGAGCCATGCAAAAGGCAGAGGACACATTTCCCAAAGAGGACAATGAACTTTACTGAAGTTCAAGAAAGATGAGCGCATCAGTGGGTCATTGGTCAAGTGCTCATCAGGATCAGCAGTGAAAGGAGGAAATCTAACTGTACATAATATATGTTGCACAAAAGAGACAATCTTTTTCACTTTTTAACATTTTTGCACATTTCCTGTCTTTTGCACAACCTGAGTGATTCTATTTACAGTATGCCAAATGTGACAAGTAGAATTCTGAGATCAATACAGTTTATCTTATCCTAAATCCGAGGCACTCTTGACAATAAATAAGAATCCTTTAAGGAACAGGGACGAGCCATGCTTTCAGCCTTGTAGGATTTGTATTTGCTGTCAAGAGAGTCTCAGATATCCTCCTTTCTATGACTTGACTTGACTTTACTTATAGTTTGGCTAACCCTTGCCAGCAGTTACCCTGTAACCTTTCCACAAACGGTGTTCCTGTTTTTCAAGTTATATGTTAACATTGACAGGGGTGACAGTAGCTCAGTTGGTAGAGCATTGGCCTTTGGGCCTGAAGGTCGTGGGTTCAAGCCCACCATAAGACCTACTTCACAACTCCCACTGATGGCTGCTGTCGTTGTGTCCTTGGGCAAGACACGTAACCCCACTTTGCCTGAAGCCCCCACTGAAAGATCTCAGCTCCTGTGGACTCACCACCTGCAGGAGGATCAGTGAGGGGCTGGTGCTAAGTGTACTGGGTGCAGCTCTGACTGCCACCCCCCTGACCCAGAAATGGATTAAGGGGAAGAAGATGGATGGATGTTAACATTGAGTAAAAACCTTAGAAATTCCTTAGTTTTCCACCAGTTTTAGTAAAAGTAACAATTTTAGGGGATTCTTTTTGAATTCCATTTATTTGATTGGGAGCAGTCAAAACGGCTGCTCTTGGAGTTCTCATAGTTTCAGAATTTATTAAGATTAAGAGATCCTTTATTTGTCCCAGAGAGGGGAAATTTCAGTGTTGCATCACAAGTTGCAGACAGTAGGAATGAGGAGCACAATATACATGAATAATAACTCTAACATATGAAAATTTAGGTGTCTCCTTGTTAAACCAACAGCTCTTGTCTCTCTCTCGTCTCCAGGTGCAGCTGCTGGTCACCAGTCAGGACGTGGACAACTACAAACAAATCAAATCAGACCTGGACCAGCTGCGCTCCATCGTGGAGAAGTCCGAGCTCTGGGTTTACAAACGCCAAGGTCCGGACGAGAGCATGGACGTCGGGGACGGAGCCATGGACAAGGTGAGGCCACGATTAAAGTATGGAGCTATTATTGTTTCAATAATATTTGTGTGTGCATAACCAGATTTGTGTGTATGTAAAAACATTTGTGCGTGCGTAACCAGATTTGTGTGTGTGTAAAAGAAGTATTTGTGCGTGTGTAAATAGATATGTATGTACGTATCAAGATTTGTGTGTGTGTGTAAAAAGATTTGTGTGTGCGTAAAAAGATTTGTGTGTGCGTAGAAAGATTTGTGTGTGTGTAAAAAAAAAAAAAGTACATTTTACACACACGTTTTTTTTTACACACGAATCTTTTGACGCAGTCCTGCCTTCGCAGATTCGCAAGTGTAACTTGGACTGTGTGTGTGCGTAAAGAGATTTGTGTGTGTGTAATTTGACATTTGTATCTGTAACAGAACAATCTGTGTGTAAATAACCACGTTGTACGAAGAGAAGAACGGAAAAAGCCTAAGTGCTACACACAGGCTCTGTTTTACACACAAATCTCTTTTTGACACACCTCTGCCGCCAAGCGTGTGTCAAAAAGATTCGGAAGTGTAATGTGGTTGTTCTAGCAGTACACCAACAGATGGTGCTGTGGTAGCTGGTTGTTACCTACAGGCAAGCAAACCAAAACCTACTGCCTTGACAAGACACACTACAGCAGCTGTTTATGATATTTTTTTCCTATATTCAAAATCCTGTCATTCTCACCACTGTATGATACATGGATCTATTATAATAACTGGATAGGGTGTTACTAGCTTGGAGCTGAAGGATTCTCGCTTACTGCAGACTAAATTCACGTGGGCTACACAGACATTTTCCCCATAGAACTCAAAGTAAACTAAAACAGCTGACAGAAAACCTACAGCTTTCATAAAGGTCGGATTATGTGGAAATTTTAGTGTCCCTTGTCATCCTGAACTTGACAAATCTACACTTTAGTGCCACAAACTCAGCTGGTTTGCTTGCCTGTAGGTAATAACCAGCTACAACAGCACCATCTGCTGGTGTACTGCTAGAACAACCACATTACACTTACAAATCTTTTTGACACACACTTGGCGGCAGAGGTGTGTCAAAAAGAGATTTGTGTGTAAAACAGAGCCTGTGCTTCGCTCTTATGGTGCGTTCAGACCAAACGCGATTTCTGCGGCCAAAGCGGCGGGTCTACATTGACACAACATGGGGGACGCGTGCCAAGGAGCGGTAAGAGATCACGCGGCGCGATTCGCGCGGCCAGAGCGGCGCAAATTCGAGCGTTTCGCGCGATTCGAGCGTTTCGCGCGATTCGCGCGGCGAGTTTTGAGATGTCAAGCGTTTTGACGCGCGTTTCACGCGATTCGTGCTTCCAACGCGGCCGCCGCTAGAGTTGAACAATGTTGAACTTTTTGGGAGAATTCGCGTGTGCCGACCAATCAGGAGCTTTCTCCTACAGTGACGTAGTGACGCATTTCACTACCGGGAAAACACTAGTAGATGACAGCTATGGAGAACACGTCAATTGCTCAGGTCGGTGCTCATTCTGAGCTATATAACACTGCGGACCACAGCTACCGGGGCCGAAATAAAAAGGAGCTTGCTTGGTTGGTGTCTCGGGTAAGTTATTTTAACTTTTCACAGTTGTAAATATTTCCTGCTTACGAGTTGATGTGTTTATTCAGTGGAAGTTTGCAAAAAACGGTGGGAGAATCTGAGGGACACATATGCTAAGGAGAGCAGGAAGGAGAAGGAGAAGGTGAAGAAGAGTGGTGCAGAAGCAGGAAAAGGCCAGACGTGGAAGTACCTTGTGGTCATGTCCTTCCTCGAGCCCTACATCACTCCCCGTGACAGCTCCGGGAACATGCCAAGGCGAAGGGCCGAGGAGGAGCAGACCACAGGGTACAACCACCCAGAAGAAGAGCCAGAGGAAGCAGCAGCAGCAGGGCTGTCAGGTGCTGAAGGTCGGTGTCATGCAGCAAACAGAGACCTCGAACAGTTGGAAAAAATACATTTATTTCCTTTTTATTACCCACATTTTGCTGACTTTTACATTTATATTGCTTTCTGTGTATGCATTTCTTTTAATGCTTTCTTAACATCATGGCCAGGTGAAAATAGGCATTGGCTATTTTCAAACCAGGATAGATCTTGATCATGTGTTGTGTAAATTTAACTTTTCCCTTTCATATGAACAAATCATTTAAATGTACATAATAATGTACATTATTATGTACATATAAATGTCATAAGCGCAATGTACACATGATATGAAATAATTGTATTTCTTGTTTTCTTCTGGCACAGATACTGCCACCACCACACAAGGTGAGACATGTTGGCCTGAGCTGCCTCAGCTGCCTGCTGCTGCTGCTGCTGCTGCTGCTGCTTCTTCCTCAGCCGGTTCTTCTTCTGTGAGGGCTGGACCTTCCCCTGCTTCTGCACCTACAGGTGTGGCTTTTTTTAATCATTGTTTTATTTTTATTCTTATTACAGGACTGTTCATATAAACAAAATGTTACTGCATAATATGCCAAAATTACCCAAGGGCTGTTACATCAGTGTAGACGACAAATTTACAGAGAAACGACAAGATGTCAAGGCACTACAAGTGGAAAGAAGCTTTGGTCTGATACAACACATCTTCCCTCTTTCTTCGATAAAAACATACTACTGAAATACCTTATGCTATAAAAGTACTGAACAAATACATGCAATGGTTGCCACAAGATGGCAGCTATCCTGTTTAATGCAGACAATAGAGTATTACTTTTTTAACAGCCAATTTCAAATTTCATTGCGAAATACACTTCAGAGATATTAGTTTGTAACTGTCGAAATTTGTGCTTGTGTGAGTAATTTCATTGATAACTGCAATGTTCAAGTTAATTGTAACACAAACACACAACTTAAAAGTGTTTTACATGTGTTTAACTATGTCTACACACTCTGGCTTTAATACAGATATTATTTGCTCTCTTCATTTTGCTTTTTTGAAATACATGTTCCACTTTTTAACACTGTGATTGCCCTGTGTTCTTTGTTAACGGCTCTACGGACGTGGGCCTCTTCCGAGCCCTCTTCCTTGGTGGGCCTTCAGAGTGGGAGCGGGAGCTGCTGGAGACTCTACGGACCAAAGCAGCCGCACCGCCCCACTACACAGAAGACCATCAGTTCCTGCTCTCTCTCTTTCCTCTCCTGCAAAGGGTGGCACCAGAGTCAAAAGAATTTGTGAAATTCAAAATGTACCAACTTTTATATGAAAGCAGCACCGTTCTGCTTAATTTAGAACCATTGGCCAGTACAGACAGTTTTTTTACCTAAGGTGACACCTTTTGCAGGGGAGGAAACAGACATGTGTCCCTTTCCTCTTCCACCGCACCTCCTCCAAGCAAGCTCCTTTTCATTTGTTTATATGTACATTTAATTTATTTTTCATTGTTTGTTCCCTTTTTATAAAGAAAATATTTTTCAAACCTCATGTGTTCTACTTCAAGCCAACCATTACTACCTTTCATATAATACTGACAGAAAATGCTATTCTATATTTGTACATTTACTTTTATAAGAGCTGACTGGGTTTTATAGAAGATGGAATAACTAACACTTAAAGAGCGATACAGTAGTTGACAGTATTTTTTATTCATTTCACCATTTACTGTTTTAACAACCTTGTAATTACGGAAAAGCTTGAATGTGCATATGATTAACCTGAAGTTGGAGTGGAGTCGCAGTGGAGTCTGGCAGTCATTACCTAGAAACAGAAGGTATACAGGTGAATAGAATAGTGCAAATCAATATGGGTTTGGACTATGGCCAGAAAAAATTTAAAGAATTTCATATTCAAGAGGCTCAGCACATTATATGTCAGGAATGAAGTTAGGCTCTTTGTATTTTGTGGGTGGCTCTGAAAAGAGCCGTTGTGGGTCAGTCTTGTGGTGGACATGACTACTCTGTGGGCTCCCTCCTCACTGAAGTGGGCCATAAACACTTTCCTTATGTCCACTGCTGGCTTCCAGGCGGCCATCCGCTGCACGCCTGGAAGTGGTTCTTCACCGGCAGCAGCTCCCCTCGGTGCAGGAACCTGCCCATCTCCAGCCATCCTCATGGCTGGAGATGGGCAGGGAGCATTAAGTTGCGGCGCAGTGGAAAGGCCTCATCTGCCACGAACACATGGGGCTGGGGTCCTCTGTGGTCAGCTCCAGGTATGCACTGGTCAGGAGGCAGGTCGAGTGTGCCCTCGTGCAGAGCCTCACCAAAGGCAGAGTTGGACATGATGCCTCCATCGCTGGATCTGCCGTACCCTCCCACATCAATCACCCTGAACCTGTACTGGGCATCCACTACAGCCAGGAGCACAAGGGAATGGTGCCCCTTGTAATTAAAAAACATGGACCCAGAGTTGGGGGGTGCCTTCACAGCCACATGCTTCCCATCAATGGCCCCACAGCACAGAGGGACCTCAAAGTCCTGCGCTATGGACCTCCACTCCTCTGCTCCAGGCACAGCCATGAACTCCTCCACGAGGAAGTCCCAGATGGCTGCCACCACATCTGGGATGAGCATGGAGACGGTGGATATGCCCACTCTGAAGCTCCCCGCAATGGTCCTGTAGGAGTCCCCAGTGGCAAGAAACCTGCAATTACAAAATGATAAGAACATATTTATCACAATTACATTCATAAAAATCACGTGACAAAACTTGTGTAGCATAAAATACGTTAAACTAGTAGACTCTAAACATCATAGACAGTAATCATAGACACCATATTGTTGCATAATACTGTTTTCTGAGCTATTACATTGTGGATTGTGATTGAAAAATGACACACTTTGTAAGTATTTAGGAATTCTGAATGGGGTAAAAAACACTAACCGCAGACAGATGGACAGGTGCTCTTCAGCTGGAATAGAGCGCCTGTAGTTGGTGTCCTGGTAGGAGATCCTAGCGCCAATGCGGGTCAGTAGGTCGTCAAACTGGGCCAGGGAGAGACGAAAGTACCGCTGAAAGCGACCCTCATCCGAGCGCAGCTCCCGGAGCAAATGGTGAAACTCACCAAACTCCAACCGTCTACGGACTATCTGATGAATCCAGACACGTCGTCGATTCGCCCTTTGACGACGTGTCTGGCTTTATTTATCAGATAAAGCAACTCCTTTGCTGACATCCATGTTGGGAAACTACAGGCAAAAGAGACAAGCCCCGCCCCTAAACGCTCTCAACGCTCTGACAGCGGCTGCCCTCTAGTGTCCTGGCCGCGCGGCCAAGTTTCTCTGTGACAGCGGCTGCCACAATTTGTCACAAGCGGCCCAAGCCGCGCGATAGACGCGATTTGGCCGCAGAAATCGCGTTTGGTCTGAACGCACCATTAGGCTTTTTCTGTTCTTCTCTTCATACAACGTGGTTATTTACACACCGATTGTTCTGTTACAGATACAAATGTCAAATTACACACACACAAATCTGTTTACGCACGCACACAGTCCAAGTTACACTTGCGAATCTGCGAAGGCAGGACTGCGTCAAAAGATTTGTGTGTAAAAAAAAAAACTTGTGTGTAATACGTACTTTTTTTTTTACACGCACACAAATCTTTCTACGCACACACAAATCTGGTTACGCACGCACAAATCTGGTTACGCACGCACAAATCTTTTTATGCACACACAAATCTGTTTACGCACACACAAATCTGTTTACGCACACACAAATATTATTGAAACAATAATAGCTCCATATTAAAGCTGGGGGACCTCACTTTGAAACTCACTGTAATGAAATCCATGTCACTTCTTCTATCTGTAGTATTCATGCATCTTTTGGCCTCTGTCACATCTTTAGATCAGCTTTTTCAGATTAAAAAGTGAAAAAAATATGTCCATCCTCATTCAGCCAATCAGCTCTCAGCACAAAGAGTCAAATACTGACTCACAGGGCTCTTATTTTCCAGTATGCACATTTCTGATAAGATGAAGAAAGCATGATGTGCTGTCTGACTCTTTCTGTTTGGACCAACAACATGGATTATGTATGGGGGGAAAAGTTCGGTACCTCAGCTTTAAAACACTATTTTACATTGTGAGATGGACTTCTGAGGGCATTGACAGAGCTCTGTTTACTGCATTGGAATTTCTAACCTCTCTGCCTTTAAAAAACAAAAGTATCGCTTCCAAATGGATGTATTATGATCATGTACAGTGAGTTCATATATTTTCTACTTAAATATGTCACATTCTGATAACATGGAATCCCAAAGTAACAAAACAAAAACTATTGGATATGTTATGTCAAATCTAATGCAAATAATATGTAGTATTCTGGAACACTATATATTTAAATTATTATATATCCAGGTTAAAAACGGTTGTTTAGCTGTCCATATGACTTAAGGATTTTTATCTTTACTCTTTTTAAATCACTGTGGCTATTTTAATCCCATCTGTGATTAGTGTTTTAATGTTTTGAATTACTTAAGTGATTTAGTTGTATCTTTTCATGTTTATGATTCACGCCTGATGTTATTTGGGTTGTGAGGCGCTTTGTGTTGCCTTGTGTAGGAAAGGTGCTCTACAAATAATTTGTATTGATTCGTTTTTAAATCCTAAAGTGTAATGTTTCCGATGGTGTGTTTATGCAGGGAGACTCTGGCGGCTCGAACAAACCAAAGAAAGCTGAGAGCACCAGCAGCTACAACTACAGAGTGGTCAAAGAGGTAGTGTTTCAGCTTATTCCCTTCCTCTTGGGTTTGGAGTCTGTAATGTTGAAAAACAGAGACCAGAGAGAGGGACCAGAGAGAAAGACCAGAGAGAAAGACCAGAGAGAGGGACCAGAGAGAGGGACCAGAGAGAGGGACCAGAGAGAGGGACCAGAGAGAGGGACCAGAGAGAGGGACCAGAGAGAGGGACCAGAGAGAGGGACCAGAGAGAGGGACCAGAGAGAGGGACCAGAGAGAGGGACCAGAGAGAGGGACCAGAGAGAGGGACCAGAGAGAGGGACCAGAGAGAGGGACCAGAGAGAGGGACCAGAGAGAGGGACCAGAGAGAGGGACCAGAGAGAGGGACCAGAGAGAGGGACCAGAGAGAGGGACCAGAGAGAGAGACCAGAGAGAGAGACCAGAGAGAGAGACCAGAGAGAGAGACCAGAGAGAGAGACCAGAGAGAGAGACCAGAGAGAGAGACCAGAGAGAGAGACCAGAGAGAGACTAGAGAGAGAGACCAGAGAGAGAGACCAGAGAGAGAGACCAGAGAGAGAGACCAGAGAGAGGGAGACCAGAGATCCCTGAGAGAGAGAGAGAGAGAGAGTGAGACCAGAGAGAGGAGGACCAGGGAAAGAGGCCAGGGAAACAGGTCTTATGCACAGTGGGAATTTAAGTAAGAATGCTCTTTCTATATTTTCTCTGTTCAAATTAAATTAAAAATTTTTTCAGGTTTGTTTTCTCTCAAATTTGAATTCTCTTTCAGTGACTTTGTTAAATAAGGACATGAGGAGATGATTTGTGATGATAAACAATCTTGAATCTTGAGTCATGCACTTTCAACATGATCTGAGTTTAACAGAAGTGACACAGAATCATAATGGTTTGAAATCTTAAAAATCACTCTTATGATTTTTCCATTAATCTGCAGCCAGAGCTCAGTGGATAATCAGTTAGTCCTGTTTTCCTTGTTACATTTTCTGATCTTCTGTTATGAAATAAATCAAATATTTAAACATTTCTCACAAGTCTATCCAGCTTGTGTAAAGTCTAAGCTTTCCAAAAATATATAAGAGGAGGCAATCTGATAATAATTGGAGGATCATTTGAAAAACCTGAGATCACCTGAAATGAAAAGCTGAGAATAACAGCCCAATTTTCTAATTTTTCTTGTCAAATTATCACTTCTGTAAAGTCCTCTTGTCTCACTGTGGTTGTGATGTTCTTGTCTCTCACTTTTGTCAGATCCTGCTGCGCCTCAGCCGCCTCTGTGTGCAGGAGGGTCTGTCCGGCAGAAAGAGCCGCAAGCAGCAACAGAGGCTCCTCCGCAACATGAGCGCACACGCCGTGGTGCTGGAGCTGCTGCAGATCCCCTACGAGAAGGTGAGAGAGACCAGAGAGAGACCAGGGAGGGAGACCAGAGAGAGAGACCAGGGAGGGAGACCAGAGAGAGAGACCAGAGAGGGAGACCAGAGAGGGAGACCAGAGAGGGAGACCAGAGAGGGAGACCAGAGAGGGAGACCAGGGAGGGAGACCAGGGAGGGAGACCAGGGAGGGAGACCAGGGAGGGAGACCAGGGAGGGAGACCAGGGAGGGAGCCCAGCGAGGGAGCCCAGCGAGGGAGCCCAGAGAGAGAGACCAGAGAGAGAGACCAGAGAGAGAGACCAGAGAGAGAGACCAGAGAGAGAGACCAGGGAGGGAGACCAGGGAGGGAGACCGGGGAGGGAGGGAGACCAGAGAGGGAGACCAGGGAGGGAGACCAGGGAGGGAGACCAGGGAGGGAGCTCAGGGAGGGAGCTCAGGGAGGGAGACCAGGGAGGGAGACCAGGGAGGGAGACCAGGGAGGGAGACCAGGGAGGGAGCCCAGGGAGGGAGCCCAGAGAGGGAGCCCAGAGAGGGAGCCCAGAGAGGGAGCCCAGAGAGGGAGCCCAGAGAGGGAGCCCAGAGAGGGAGCCCAGAGAGGGAGCCCAGAGAGGGAGCCCAGAGAGGGAGCCCAGAGAGGGAGCCCAGAGAGGGAGCCCAGAGAGGGAGCCCAGAGAGGGAGTCCAGAGAGGGAGTCCAGAGAGGGAGTCCAGAGAGGGTCCAGAGAGGGAGTCCAGAGAGGGAGTCCAGAGAGGGAGTCCAGAGAGGGAGTCCAGAGAGGGAGTCCAGAGAGGGAGTCCAGAGAGGGAGTCCAGAGAGGGAGTCCAGAGAGGGAGTCCAGAGAGGGAGTCCAGAGAGGGAGTCCAGAGAGGGAGTCCAGAGAGGGAGTCCAGAGAGGGAGTCCAGAGAGGGAGTCCAGAGAGGGAGTCCAGAGAGGGAGTCCAGAGAGGGAGTCCAGAGAGGGAGCCCAGAGAGGGAGCCCAGAGAGGGAGCCCAGAGAGGGAGCCCAGAGAGGGAGCCCAGAGAGGGAGCCCAGAGAGGGAGCCCAGAGAGGGAGCCCAGAGCAGAGGGAAATCTACTTATCCTTCTAAGTAAGAACAAAGGAAAGTTTCTCACCCATCGTCTGTGCTTCTTAGCAGGTGTTCCAGATGTTTCGTCCTTCATCTAAAGGACTTCTTCAGGGAATGAAATCTCAGACCGCGTGTTGGAGATTTATAACCTATGGGTGTGGTTAGCCACACCTGATTGTGGCCCACTAACTCTAGTGGGCCACAATCGGCTGTTCATCGCCACCTCAAGGCCACCAACCACACCGTGAACGACACAAAGGTTAAAATTCTGGCTCAAGACAAAAATTGGTTTGAGAGAGGGGTGAAAGAAGCCATTTTTTGAGGAAACACAAACCTTCTCTTTACAGAGGAGGAGGGTTAAGATTTGTTTTGCCTCGCATCTACGACGACATCCTAAAAACAACGCCCTAACTAAGTCAGTGACATGCTAATGAGTTATGAGTGAGGAGACCTGCACTCCACTCGAGCATCCCAGAAAATACGTCAGTGACATGCTAATGAGTTAGGGTCGTTAGACCTGCTCCCTTCCACATCAAACAGACCTTAGTTTGTTAATGAGTTAGCATCAGGATTAGGTTATAAATCTCCAACGCGCGGTCCGAGATGTCATTCCCTTGAAGAAGTTATTTAGATGATGGACGAAACGTCGGGAAAACCTGCTAAGAAGTACAGATGATGGGTGAGAAACCTTCCTTTGCTTTGACTAATCCCTGTACAACTGAGAGCTTACACAAACTTCTAAGTAAGGCGTATCCACTGCCCCACTCTAATGAACTCCATGGTCAATAGCTTTGAAAGGCTCCATACTTTAGCATCTGCTCTCTATCCCCCGGTTTCCAGACCTGATGCACCTCTGTATGAAATTCTTCTTTCTATGTTTTCAGGGAGAAGATTTGCGGATGCAGGACATCATGAAGTTGGCTCATCAGTTTCTGCAGAACTTTTGTGCCGGAAACCAACAGAACCAGGCTCTGCTCCACAAAAACATAAACCTGTTCCTAAACCCTGGGGTGAGTACGGCTTCTGTATCCACTGGCATCACCCTTTACCATGGAGGAGAGAAAACCAGATATTTCTCCTATAGTCCAATTCAATCTTTGGCCTCTGTAATAAGAGTGGTCTGACCAAAACCAGAATAAGCTAGCTGGAGCCTGGCTTCTCTGTCAGACTGAATCCCTGTGTTTCTCGTGGGCAGATCCTGGAGGCCGTCACCATGCAGCACATCTTCATGAATAACTTCCAGCTCTGCAGTGAGATCAACGACCGTGTGGTCCAGCACTTCGTCCACTGCATCGAGACGCACGGCCGCAACGTCCAGTACCTCAAATTCCTCCAGACCATCGTTAAGGCGGAGAACAAGTTTATCAAGAAGTGCCAGGACATCGTGATGGCTGAGGTAGCACCAGGCTTCAAACAGCCATGGGACACTGCCCTACACAGCAAGAATGACATCAATTAACATTATAAATCCCAGTGCACTCAATTTGACGGCTATTCGCTTTGGTAGCGAATAGCTTGTGTATTTTTGGTCTTTATACTTTTTTGGCTTTTTCTGTATCTATATGTAGTTCAGTGTTGGGTGTAACGCGTTACTAAGTAAATTGTAATTTCGCGTTACTGTAACGAAATTACAGTTTGAGAAACGTGGTAGTGTAACGCGTTACTATGAAAATATGTTTAATTATATTACAGTTACTACCTAAATACTGCACTACCGCTGCGTGCGTTTGTTTGTAAAGCAACATGGCAGAGCCAGAGGAGAGGAATTCGTTTTACCGATGAAGATATGCACACTATCAGTCAAAAAGATAAAAACGTTGTCGTGGAGTGCAAGCTTTGAGCGGGCAGCATGCGAATGCTCTGTTCACATGCTCAGCGCTCTGCGCACTGTATTTTCCCTAGTTCTTGACTGTCAGGTGCGCTCTGCGCACTGTATTTTCCCTGGTTCTTGTCTGTCAGGCGCTAGGGCTGTGTCTGTGGGAACTAATTATTTTAAAATAGTCTCTTTCAATTGCAAGTTTTGCAATGTGCTTTGTTTGATCAATGGATAAAAATAAATGCAATGTAATGGCATTTGGCCTGTCACCAGTGTGCTGCAGGACAGTTCCCTAAACTAACATATACTACTAATACTAAAATAGGGTGGCGTTGTTGCAACAATTAATCTACTTAGAAGTTATCCTAAATTACAACCAGCTTAAGCTCGGTACCACGACAAACTAAAAAGTAATGCAATAGTTACTTTTACTGGTAGCTAGTTACTTTCACAGTGCAGTAACTAAGTTAGTAACTATATTACTTTTTGGGAGCAGTAACTAGTAACTGTAACTAATTACTTTTTTAAAGTAACTTACCCAACACTGATGTAGTTAACTTATATGAAATGGATTTGATAACATTATTTTTTTGTTTCTGAAAAGTGAGTAGTTCCACCTTTACCTCCCAGAGCAGCCATTTTGACTTTGGTGAGTTAGAGTGGTCATATCTTTTGGTTGGGGGACACAGTGGTTAGGGCTTGTTCTCCCTGTGCCTGAGAACTGGACTAATGTGATCGTACTTCCTGGTTCTACTCAGGACGTTTTGAACATACTCTACTGGAGACAAACGCAGGATAAGAATCAGCTTTAGACACTATATTCTTGAGTCTGGCAGTGCTTTTTAGATACTGATTTTATGTGGTTGATGAAATGTATTTGAGTCCCTTATCAACCCTAGATTACCCACTGTAACTCATGCAGCCCTCTGTCTTCCCACTTGTGTGCAGCTGGTGAACGCCGGTGAGGATGTGCTGGTTTTCTACAACGACCGCGCCTCGTTCCAGACGCTGGTGCAGATGATGCGTTCGGAGAGAGACCGCATGGACGAGAACAGCGCCCTCATGTACCACATCCACCTGGTGGAGCTGCTGGCCGTCTGCACCGAGGGCAAGAACGTCTACACGGAGATCAAATGCAACTCTCTGCTGCCGCTGGACGACATCGTGAGGGTGGTGACGCACGAGGACTGCATCCCAGAGGTCGGCACACGGCTCCACCTGAACCAGTTCAACATGAAACACACCTTTTTCAGCTTTTCATTGAGTGATTGTATTTTTTTGTTGTATAAATTGCAATATTTTAGCCTTATCATTATTACAGAAAACATTAGAGGACCTAGACAACTCCCCTCTGGGACTCTACGACAAATATTTCTTGCGTCAGAAAGATGGCAGTTCGTCCCCTGTATGGGCAAAGCCTGTATTAATGTCGAACGACTGGACTCACTAAAATATATTCCAATTTTGTTGATACTTTTTATTTCAAATTTGTGTTTTACAGGCACAATGAGCGTAATTTTAGAGTTTGAAACAGTTCATGTGGTTAGATTTATGCTCTGTTGATAGTGCAAGGCAAGTTTATTTGTAGAGCACAGTTCATAGACAAGGCAACTCTAAGTGCTTAACATTTAAGGACATTTACAGATGTTGGTCATCCACTCCTTATGAACCAATGGTCTGTTTTTTATTTTCTGCTTTTCCTGAGTTTGAACTGTTTTTTTCTCTGATCTGTGTTGGTGAATTAACAGCTTTGTAAAGTCCTCTGAGATAACTGCTGATATGATTTAGGGCTATACAAAAATTGATACAATGGATTGAATTGTATGTATTAAAGCAAAATAGATACAGACATACAAGGCATTAAAATCATAAAAACGGTTTAACCTAGATTTGAACTTTGTCAGAGTCTCACACTTTCAAGAAGACTGTTTCAGATTTTTAGCATAAATCTGAAACCCTGATAAAGTTAGGGTGAGGCAAGCTTTATGAGGAATGAAATACCAAGATTTCATAGTACCATCTAACAAACTGCTCCTGCCAGTCTTATTGTCATCTCAGCTTTTAACTACCACTAATATAATCTAGTTTGATTTAACTCATCTTTAATCTGCCGGTTTTCCTTTGTTTCTCCAGATCAAGATTGCCTACATCAACTTCTTGAATCACTGCTACGTGGACACGGAGGTGGAGATGAAGGAGATCTACACGTCCAATCACATGTGGAAACTGTTCGAGAACTTCCTGGTCGACATCTGTCGGGTGAGAGGAAAAAACATTTGTGTTTCTGGTGTTTGATTTAAGATTAGGACATAACACACGTCTATCTGCTCTGTATGATAACGGTACATTTGAAATCTAAAGCCCTGTTTTCACCAACCCTACTCTACTCTACTCGAATATACTTCACTGTGCTCTACTCTACTCTACTCTACTTTACTCTGCTCTGCTCTGCTCTACTCAAGAAGGCCTCATATTCTTGCAAAGAGGAAAATTCTGGTTTTCTGTTTTCTCTGTAGGTCTGTAACAACACGAGCGACCGCAAACACGCCGACATCATCCTGGAGCGATACGTGACGGAAACAGTGATGAGCATCGTGACCACGTTCTTCAGCTCGCCGTTTTCTGACCAGAGCACCAGTCTGCAGGTGAGAGACCGGTCTGCAGGAGGGAGACCGGTCTGCAGGTGAAAGACCAGTCTGCAGGTGAGAGACCGGTCTGCAGGTGAGAGACCGGTCTGCAGGTGAGAGACTGGTCTGCAGGAGAGAGACCGGTCTGCAGGAGAGAGACCGGTCTGCAGGTGAGAAGCCACTCTGCAGGTGAGAGACCACTCTGCAGGTGAGAAGCCAGTCTGCAGGTGAGAAGACAGTCTGCAGGTGAGAGACCACTCTGCAGGTGAGAGACCACTCTGCAGGTGAGAAGCCAGTCTGCAGGTGAGAAGCCAGTCTGCAGGTGAGAAGCCAGTCTGCAGGTGAGAGACCAGTCTGCAGGTGAGAGACCACTCTGCAGGTGAGAGACCACTCTGCAGGTGGGAGACCGGTCTGCAGGTGAGAGACCACTCTGCAGGTGAGAGACCACTCTGCAGGTGAGAGACCACTCTGCAGGTGGGAGACCGGTCTGCAGGTGAGAGACCACTCTGCAGGTGAGAGACCACTCTGCAGGTGAGAGACCACTCTGCAGGTGAGAGACCACTCTGCAGGTGAGAGACCACTCTGCAGGTGAGAGACCAGTCTGCAGGTGAGAGACCACTCTGCAGGTGAGAGACCGGTCTGCAGGTGAGAGACCGGTCTGCAGGTGAGAGACCACTCTGCAGGTGAGAGACCACTCTGCAGGTGAGAGACCAGTCTGCAGGTGAGAGACCAGTCTGCAGGTGAGAGACCAGTCTGCAGGTGAGAGGGCGGCACGGTGGTTAGCACTCTCGCCTCTCAGCAATAAGATTCTGGATTCGAATCCCGGTCTGAACAGGGCCTTTCTGATTGGAGTTTGCATGTTCTCCCCGTGTATGCGTAGGTTCCGGTTTTAGTGGAGGTTCTCCACTAAAAACATGTGCAATAGTTCAGGGTGATTGAATGTGTGTTTGTGAGTGCGAATGTGGGACAACAGATGGAAATCAGCCCATGGCCACAATCCGGAGTGGTGTGTTCATTAACGTGTACTGTCCCAAACAAATAAACAAAATAAATAAAATAAAAAGGTGTATTGCTATGGTAACTAGAAAGTTGCCAAGCCACCAAAAATGGCATCGGTTAAATGAAGGGAGCAGCCAAAATTACTGCTTTGTAAGTTAGATTTAAAAAATAAACAACATTGACAGATAGAAACAGAAAAAGTCACAAAATTATTACCTGGATTTATTGCAAAAAAATACAAATCTTTATCTTTGTTCTCGTGCAGATTAGAAATGCCTTTTTGAGGAGTTTTGTACAGCTGTCTCAGGAACACAACCTGTTCTTTCCATTTCATGAACATCCATTCAACTCAAACTGAAAAGAATGATTTGAATTCTAATCAGAGCTGACTGTTTCTGATGACTGTATTGGAGCATTTAGATTCTTAGAAACAGCTCCACATTTCACTGAACTGTAAATGTTCTGCTCCGAGCTCAGAGACGTGTTTGGGTTCTGTAAGAGACGTTCATGGTCCATTGTGGACATCATGGACCCGAGACCAGACACGAGACCTGACTCAAGTCCAAACCCAAGACTTGACCTGGACCAAAAACCCGACTCAAGGTTAGACCCATGACCAGACCCAAGACCAGAGCCATTGTCAGTCCTTGCCCAACTTCCTTCTGATGTGTCAGAAAGGGATGAAGGACAGACTCTGCTGAGCGAGCCAAAGATGATCGATACAAGTTTATTTTCTGTGTATTTTGCTGAGTTTCTCTTGTGCTGAGTTTCTCTTCCTGCTGTCGTCCCCTCAGACCCGGCAGCCCGTGTTTGTGCAGCTTCTTCAGGGCGTGTTCCGGGTTTATCACTGCACCTGGATGGTTCCTCTGCAAAAAGGCTTCGTAGAGACCTGCATCAAAGTGCTCTCCGACGTTGGTAAGATCAAGTTCATCCACTGCAGATTATTACATTGTGGGATTCACTGGACCCTCAGCAAATATGATGCATTGTTTCTGTTCATCTTAACCATTGAATGTTCACTCTTTTAAGAAAGCAATGTAATTATTATTATTACGATTTTAAATAACACGAATAATTAGTTATGGGTTTTTTATGGTAAATGTGCCTTAACCCAATTGATAGAGATGCCCCAATGTATATAAAAATATACAGGTGGAAAGAAGCTGTTTGCATATCGAGATGTCCTGCATCTCAGCAAACGATATCTGATTACGCTTTTTTACTTTTCTATGCTTTACACATTTACCCTTGTGCTACCCTTGGGTCAAAATGGCCGCCACTGATGATTAAAAGTAAAAGATAAAATACCCTTAATTGGGTAACTGGACTTACTCAAAAGCTGTTGTTCCCACTATAAAAGGCGCTGACAAGGAGCCAAGATCTGTAAGTACAGTGCAGCTAACGTTGCACATAGGGCTTCATGTGACAAATTCTCAGGTCTTGTACCAGTAAACGCCGAACCCCCACGGCGTGTGTTGACAACAAAGTCAGCGTTGAGGACCTCCCAGACCTCTTCCACACACATTCACTTTGTGTTTTCAGCCAAAGGTAGAGCCATCGCGATCCCAGTGGACCTGGACAACCAAGTGAGCAACCTGTTTGTAAAATCCAACAACATCGTACAGAAGACTGCCATGAGCTGGAGGCTGTCGGCCCGGAACGCTGCCCGTAGAGACTCTGTGATCACGGCCTCGCGGGACTACAGGAACATCATCGAGAGGCTCCAGGTTTGTGTCATGGTTGAGGAGAAAGAGCTGAGCCAGGGACAGACATTTGCTTATATCTAATGTCACTCACTTAGATACCCAAGCTTTGACTTAGCTCTTACAGAGATATGACTGATGGTCCCGGTATCTACAGGACATCGTCTCAGCTCTGGAGGACCGTCTGCGTCCCCTGGTGCAGGCCGAGCTCTCGGTCCTGGTGGACGTCCTCCATCGACCAGAGCTGCTGTTCCCCGAGAACACGGACTCCCGGAAGAAGTGTGAGAGCGGGGGCTTCATCTGCAAGTACGTCCCACCCTCCATCTGTGATTTCACCCGAGTCACTCATGGTCACAAAAACTAAAGTTGTAATTATTTTCATTAACAAAGAAGTACAAAAATAGAAAGGGCCTTGATGGGTCTTGTGAGGCAGTGAAGTTTTTATAAAAAGTAAGTGTTTTGTGAATGCTAATACTGGTTCATATTCCTCATAAATACACTTGCTTTGTTCTGGTGGGAAACCAAAAACCAGACCTGGCTGCGATAGAATGTTGGCGCCATAGAAAACATTTGAATGTAACTGAATCCTCAGGGATTATTATCACAAAGTTTATGAAAGAACAAAAATGCACATATGCTGTTTAATTACACGTCAAAAACAAAGAGCCAGAGATAGAAAGACCAGATAGAAAGACCAGATAGAAAGACCAGAGAGAGACCAGAGAGAGACCACAGGGAGCCTAGAGAGAGAGACCATTAATCATGTATGATTCAGTACACTACCACAGCTGTCATGAGCAAATACAAAAAAACATACACAAGCACGCACACACTCAGTATGACACAGGCCCAAACACTCTCTGACCCGACACCCCCCTCCCATTCACTGAGACTGCAGAGAGACTAGAGTTCTGAAGTGTGTGTTGTCCACTCTTTCAGACTGATCAAACACACCAAACAGCTGCTGGAGGAAAACGAGGAACGACTCTGCATCAAAGTCCTGCAGACGCTGAGGGAGATGATGACCAAAGACCGAGGCTATGGCGAGAAGGTAGGACCAGAGAGAGAGACCATAGAGAGAGACCATAGAGAGAGACCAGAGAGAGAGACCAGGGAGAGAAACCAGAGAGAAAGAGACCAGAGAGAGAGAGAGAGAGACCAGAGAGGCCAGGGAGATAGAGACCAGAGAGAGAGACCAGGGAGAGTGAGACCAAAGAGAGAGGCCAGGGAGAGAGGCCAGGGAGAGAGGGCAGGGAGAAAGGCCAGGGCGAGAGACCAGGGCGAGAGACCAGGGCGAGAGACCAGGGCGAGAGACCAGGGCGAGAGACCAGGGCGAGAGACCAGGGCGAGAGACCAGGGCGAGAGACCAGGGCGAGAGACCAGGGCGAGAGACCAGGGCGAGAGACCAGGGCGAGAGACCAGGGCGAGAGACCAGGGCGAGAGACACCAGAGAGACACCAGAGAGAGACCAGAGAGAGACCAGAGAGAGACCAGAGAGAGACCAGACCAGAGAGAGACCAGAGAGAGACCAGAGAGAGACCAGAGAGAGACCAGAGAGAGACCAGAGAGAGACCAGAGAGAGACCAGAGAGAGACCAGAGAGAGACCAGAGAGAGACCAGAGAGAGACCAGAGAGAGACCAGAGAGAGACCAGAGAGAGACCAGAGAGAGACCAGAGAGAGACCAGAGAGAGACCAGAGAGAGACCAGAGAGAGACCAGAGAGAGACCAGAGAGAGACCAGAGAGAGACCAGAGAGAGACCAGAGAGAGACCAGAGAGAGACCAGAGAGAGACCAGAGAGAGACCAGAGAGAGACCAGAGAGAGACCAGAGAGAGACCAGAGAGAGACCAGAGAGAGACCAGAGAGAGACCAGAGAGAGACCAGAGAGAGACCAGAGAGAGACCAGAGAGAGACCAGAGAGAGACCAGAGAGAGACCAGAGAGAGACCAGAGAGAGACCAGAGAGAGACCAGAGAGAGACCAGAGAGAGACCAGAGAGAGACCAGAGAGAGACCAGAGAGAGACCAGAGAGAGACCAGAGAGAGACCAGAGAGAGACCAGAGAGAGACCAGAGAGAGACCAGAGAGAGACCAGAGAGAGACCAGAGAGAGACCAGAGAGAGACCAGAGAGAGACCAGAGAGAGACCAGAGAGAGACCAGAGAGAGACCAGAGAGAGACCAGAGAGAGACCAGAGAGAGACCAGAGAGAGACCAGAGAGAGACCAGAAAGAGACCAGAAAGAGACCAGAGAGAGACCAGAAGAGACCAGAGAGAGACCAGAGAGAGACCAGAGAGAGACCAGAGAGAGACCAGAGAGAGACCAGAGAGAGACCAGAGAGAGACCAGAGAGAGACCAGAGAGAGACCAGAGAGAGACCAGAGAGAGACCAGAGAGAGACCAGAGAGAGACCAGAGAGAGACCAGAGAGAGACCAGAGAGAGACCAGAGAGAGACCAGAGAGAGACCAGAGAGAGACCAGAGAGAGACCAGAGAGAGACCAGAGAGAGACCAGAGAGAGACCAGAGAGAGACCAGAGAGAGACCAGAGAGAGACAGAGAGAGAGACTGGAGAGAGACTAAAGAGAGAGGCTGGAGAGAAATTAAAGAGAGAGGCTGGAGAGAAATTAAAGAGAGAGACTAAAGAGAGAGGATGGAGAGAGACCAGAGAGAGACCAGAGAGAGACCAGAGAGAGACCAGAGAGAGACCAGAGAGAGACCAGAGAGAGACCAGAGAGAGAGATCAGAGAGAGACCAGAGAGAGACCAGAGAGACCAGAGAGAGACCAGAGAGAGACCAGAGAGAGAGATCAGAGAGAGACCAGAGAGAGACCAGAGAGAGAGACCAGAGAGAGACCAGAGAGAGACCAGAGAGAGAGAGAGACCAGAGAGAGATCAGAGAGAGACCAGAGAGAGAGACCAGAGAGAGACCAGAGAGAGAGACCAGAGAGAGAGACCAGAGAGAGAGACCAGAGGGAGACCAGAGAGAGACCAGAGAGAGAGACCAGAGAGAGACCAGAGAGAGAGAGAGACCAGAGAGAGACCAGTGAGAGACCAGAGAGAGACCAGAGAGAGAGAGAGACCAGAGAGAGACCAGAGAGAGATCAGAGAGAGACCAGAGAGAGAGACCAGAGAGAGAGACCAGAGAGAGAGACCAGAGGGAGACCAGAGGGAGAGAGAGACCAGAGAGAGATTGTAGAGAGACTAAAGAGAGTTTGCAGAGAAACCAGGGAGAGAGACCAGAGAGAGACTAGAAAGAGACCAGAGAGTGATACGGGCAAGAGTAATTTCCCGGGTTGCCAGGTCTGATTCGTGAAGTGCAGGTTTTGTTGGAGCTTGTGGACTGACAGATCCGCTCTCACTCTCACCGCGGTTGTTTCCGGGACACCCCCAATCCCTCAATCTCCACACACATTCTCTCCCCCTCTCTCTCCCCCCCTCCCCCCCTCCCCGATTTATATGGGCCTCACGCCTTTCCCCCGTAATGAAATATTCACAGGTCACTGGTTCCCTGAGAAATGATGGGGGTCAGTCAATTGCTTTTCAGCGAGTAATTCCCCCCCCTGCTTGTCGTGTTGACAGTCATTAGCGGCGGAGGAAGGCCGGATCGAAGCGCCGCTCTGACACTTGTCAAGACACTAGCTCTCTTTAGCTCCTCTGCATCACTTTTATTCCCCACTAGATGTTTTTTTCCTTCCTTTCCCCCGTCTCCCTTCCACCTCGGCTCCGGCTGCCTGTCACATGTATAAATCACACACTGCCACTGGGTATGTATACATAACACTGAGGCCGGCATCATGCTAGCTCTAACTATACTATCTGTATCCATCTATCAATCCCACTCGGCGCCGCTCCTCACCCTGTTGTCGCCGAGGAACAATGGGAAGCGACAGGACACATTTCAGATTTCTATAGCGCCGCAAACGTAGAGAAGATGACAAATGAAAGGTTAAATATTGGCAGTTTGCTGAGTGGATTACAGCGGGTTCCAAAAGCTTCGCTGCTGTCGCTGTCGGGAAACTGCTTTATTCTCTGAGATCATTTACAGAGAATTGGAAAGAGTTGGGCCTGAATATCCACGGACCTCAGGGATTGGTCAGCACAGACTTGGATGGTAGATCAGGAGTGGGGAGAATAAAATAAAAATGTAAAAATGATCTAGTTTGAGTGTATGTTTAAACTCTGTGGGGTTGAAAGTAATGTTTATATTTGCACACACTGCTGTAGTGAAGAGAACCATTCAAAAATATGAGAAATATAGGAATAAATATGAGTCAATAACAAGACTCAAAATGTCTGTAGGAATGATCAGAGAGAGACCAGAGAGAGAGAGACCAGAGAGAGAGACCAGAGAGAGACCAGAGAGAGACCAGAGAGAGAGAGACCAGAGAGAGACGAGAGAGAGAGACCAGAGAGACCAGTGAGAGAGACCAGAGAGAGACCAGAGAGAGACCAGAGAGAGAGATCACAGAGACCAGAGAGAAACCAGGGAGAGATACCAGAGAGAGACTAGAGAGAGACCAGAGAGAGAGACCAGAGAGAGACCAGAGAGAGAGACCAGAGAGAGACCAGAGAGAGACCAGAGAGAGACCAGAGAGAGACCAGAGAGAGATCACAGAGAGAGAGACCAGAGAGAGACATGGGAGAGATACCAGAGAGAGAGACCAGAGAGAGAGACCAGAGAGAGACCAGAGAGAGACATGGGAGAGAGACCAGAGAGAGAGACCAGAGAGAGAGATCACAGAGAGAGAGACCAGAGAGAGACATGGGAGAGATACCAGAGAGAGAGACCAGAGAGAAAGACCAGAGAGAAAGACCAGAGAGAGAGATCACAGAGAGAGAGACCAGAGAGAGACATGGGAGAGAGACCAGAGAGAGAGATCACAGAGAGAGAGACCAGAGAGAGACATGGGAGAGAGACCAGAGAGAGAGATCACAGAGAGAGAGACCAGGGAGAGACCAGAGAGAGATCACAGAGAGAGACCAGAGAGAGAGACCAAAGAGAGAGACCAGAGAGAGAGACCAGAGAGAGGGATCACAGAGAGAGACCAGAGAGAGACCAGAAAGAGACCAGAGAGAGATCAAATAGAGAGGTTTAAAATCTCAGCGTTCTCTAAACAACCTTTAAAACTAATCCATAAAAAATCTTAAAATCAGCTCTAAAATCACACATGGAGCCAGCGGAGGGACACTAACCCAGGGGTGATGTGTTCTCTTTTCAGAACCGGGCTAACTCCTGAACCCACCTGGTCCCCTCTCCCTGCTCTGGCCCCAAACTGTAAATCTGGTCTCTTTTCTTTAAAGCCCTTTCATCATTCCATGTTACCGCTCTGGAAATTAAAAGGACACTCATCTCCAGTACTCTCCCCCCTCTTCTCTCCCCCCTCTTCTCTCCCCTCCCTTTCTCCCCCCTCCCTTCCCCCCCCCCCCCCCCCCCCCTCCCCTCCCTACGGTAATAATTCACTTTACAGAGAGGCCATCAAAAGCCAATCAAATGAGACACTTGAGAATGGGTGATTGGTGATTAGAATCGGGGAAATCCGGGGGAAAGTTTAGCCAGGGTCCTTCTTCCTTTTATGACTCGCCGTGACCTTTAAGGATATTACCGTTTGACAAGATGAACGACGCTCCGGCGAGAGGGAGACTTTTTCCTATTAACCGCCGCGAAGGAGGAGAGAGAGAGGACTGTGGCGTTCTGTGGAGGGCTGTGGGAGATAAGTCTGGGTTTTTATATAAAGAAGTCCTGCAGCGAGAGGGAAACTCGTCACGTATTTTATAACACGCTTTCTCAGATCAAAGGCTTTCTCTTTTTGATTTTTCATGTGTTTGTTTATTTATTGTTTATTGTGTATTTTGGTCGGGACAGAACATGTAGCGTTGGGATCGGTTCCATCCGTCGTCCCACAGTCGCTCTCACAAACTCACTCTCATTCACCCTGAACTATCGCACATGTTTTTAGTGGTAGGGGAAACCGGAGCACCCGGAGGAAACCTACGCAGACACGGGGAGAACATGCAAACTCCACTCAGAAAGGCCCTGGTCCGACTCAGAACCTTCTTGCTGAGAAGCGAGAATGCTAACCACTCAGCCACTGTCCCGCCCTTCTGTTTAAAGACCTTGTTACAGCACTAAATGATGAATCCTGATACTTAAAAGTGGGATATGGAACAGTCTTCCTGAGGCTGTGAGACAGGCCTCACCCCTGACCCTGGTCTAAACTAAGCTGAAAACATGTATTGGCTAAAACTGATTCTATTTAGTGATATTTATTGCTTTTATCTCCTGTTTTAAACCCTTATTTTAATCACACTTTTATGATGCTCTGTTTTAACATGAAATAATTGTATTTTCCATTGACTTTTTAATGCATTCTGTGAAGCACTTTGGATTGCCCATTACTCAAATTGTGCCATACAAATAAATTATTGATTGATTGATAAAACACAAAACCGATTGAAAAAGATACAGTCCTTCTTTGGTCTCTTTCAAATCTGTTAAAACTGTTTTTATCCAAATTTATCCTTCTTTAACTGATAACAGTCGTTCAGAGATATTTAAATTTCTAAATTACTTTTCCAGCCTCTAAATCTTGTTATTGTTTTTGTTTTGATGTCCCGCCCTCCACCGTTTCACCAATCAGAAAGTCTGTGATCCGGGCGCCAGAACTCACGGCGTGGAGCTAATCTCACTGGTAAAGTACCATGTGGCGCAGAACTAAAAAAGGTCTTGTTATGATTCTCAAATCATTAACGACAAAACAAGGAATAAAACCAGGATTTCTATCTTTGTGAAAAAGGTGTTGGTTATAGATTTGTTGTTGACTAAACTCTTGTCTATTCAGCTGTTATGGTCCCAGCTGGATTCGTCTGCATATCTGGCAACCTGAGTCAGGGAGAGTGGGAGAGGCTGCAGTACCACTTTTGGCCACATGTTTACAGACTGCTCTTTTAGCTGTAAGATTTTATATATTTTTGAATGTATTTATATCAAGTTTTTCTCCTTTTCCTTTCAACACTTTTCAGCCCAAACTCTTCCACATCTGTAGCAAAACCATAAAAACACAAATCCATCGAGATTTTTTGGTGTTTGATAAAAATAAATGTAAAAGCCCGAGCACAGATGGTGCGTGTGACCCGGAGGAAGAGCCCAATTAGCTCGCAGTAATAGCCGCGTGTCTTCGAACCGACCCCGAAGGCCTCGGCTCCTCCACCGCCACCGAACCCAACACCTTCAGTCTGCTCCCATTGTGTCAGAGCTGCCACACACACACACAGATACACACATATATACAGATACACACACATACATAAACACAGGGAGATACACACACACAGACACACATATACACACACACACATATACACAGAGACACACACACAAACACATATATATACTCACACATACATATACACAGAGACACACACATATACACACAGAGATACACACACACAGAGACACACACTTATGCACACACAGATACACACATACAGACATACACATAAATACATAGAGACACACACAGATACACACACAGATAAACACACATACAGAGACACACACACACACACACAGATACGCACACAGATACACACATACACACACAGATACGTACATACACACACAGATACACACAGAGATACACACACACAGAGACACACATAGATACACACATAGATATACACACATATACACAGAGAGACACACAGATACACATACACACACAGATACACACACAGATACACACACGTATACACACACACACACACACAGGTACATACATACACACACATATACACAGAGAGACACGCACACACAGATACACACAGAGATACAC